AACCAACCGTAAGCTTGTCACTCTGGTCGTAAAGGTGGGCGGCTAATTTGCTACCAAATCTCACAATACCTGTTGGAAAGTCACCATATCGTCTTGTCCGATTAAGTGCAGCAGGGAAAGTTCGGGACCTGACTTTAGACCTAGGTCGGCCCACCTTCCGAGATTGTATAGGAAGTAATGGGCCGGAAAGTCGTCGACGAGTGATCTTTCTGCTGATAATCAGTGGACTCTGCTGTACCTGCTCCTCTGTGAAGTTCTTATTCTTACAGCCTGCCTTGGCTGTCCCGCAGCAGCAGAAACATGTCTTTGACGTGGAGCATGCTGCAGTAAACCAAGTGATGAGCCGGCCAAGTGGTTGGCCGCAGTCGTTCTGCCCTGTGACAGTCTCTGACAAAGCTATGTAATGAAGTCTTAAGCATGTCCTTTAAAGTGTTTCTATTGGTCACCTCGCGAGTGACTTCACATCACCTCGCGAGTGGGACCCCTTTTGTAACTCACAACGATGGGGTCATTCAGGCAGAGAGATAGATCAGTTTTGCCTACATGAAACACCCCAGCCAATCGGAATAACTTCTTCTCGTCCACCTCCTTCTCTTATTCTTCTGCTAGGTTTTCCTGAATATATTGGGGGGGGGGGGAGGGAAGCAGGCGCTAACAGGAGCCATGACCTCCTCCAGCCGTCAAGTACCCGTCCCCACGTCTTCGTGCATATTGGGCATATAGGGCTAGACCGTTAATTTATAGAACAATTGGCTCTCAGTATGGGGGGATGTGGTCAACATCACACCGGCCGCCTTTACTTCCCAAAACGTTATCATGGTACCACTCAAGGTTTGGTTCACCTAAGCACCAAGGCCATTTGTGAAAAAATCCGGTTTCGTTCAGACTCGAACCCACTACCTTCCGATCTGCAGGTGAGCATTTAGCCGCTACACCACGGGGGCTGTCTTGTTCTGTAAGTGCGTCTCATATTGGCCTCATTATGGCTTATCTTATCCAGCTTACAGTCTCGTGAAATTTCGGCCGTGTTCCGGCGGTGGGCGTGATATGATCTTGTTTGCCTCTCTGTTCTCCTCCCTCCTCCCCCTCCCCCCCCCCCACACACACACAGACACATACACACAGATACACACGTATGAACCCGCTTTCAACGCATGAACAAGAATGGAAAACACTCTGTCTGGGTCACATGCAAATATTTGAGCCATTGATGAATGATCTGGACGTGCTCCGCCACGCTCACTTAGGTAATCAATGACACAGTTTACTTGTGACGGGAATTTACTGCACCGCTCTCTTAAATTCACATTTAACCCTTCCACACCCCACCCCGCTCCCCCAACCAGACAGCAGCCCATTTTGTCAGTTCAGCATGCCACACTGGTGTCAGTAGGCAAATGTATGCACATTCAGTCAGCGGTATCTGACATGACACAAAATATACATAAGTTTCATGGGACAGCTCCAGGCTATAGAGATAGCATGCATTAAATACACATAGATCCGGTGGATGCGTTAAAGAGAGACCCGAGGGAGGCTGAGTGTCACAGATGCTCTCGTGTTGAGTGAATGACTTCACATCACCACGTGTACTCTGCCCCCCCCCCCCCCTTCCGTAGCCAAGGAATCTTACCTATTCTGATGGTGCCAGATTTAAACTTTGCCTCCCCCCTCCCAGACCCTGTTCTGATTGCCAGGTGAATGGTTATCTTCAGATGTGGATTGTCTGTCTGTTCTCCCGCTGTTTACAGGTCACTACATCAGAACTAAGGCACCCTGGATAAATAGCCAAGTATTGAATATATCTGTGTTGGCACTTCTGACGGCTGCCTTATGCATTTAATGCACGTGCATGTCATTGGCTTTGCTGAGGATACAATCTAAGACAGATGTTTTCCACAAGGGACAGTGAAGGACATTCTGTGCGTTTGTTGTTGACACAGCAACAGGGCAACAGTTTGACTCGTTTGTTATGAAGTTAGAATTGTTACTACAGGATGCAGAAGACAAAGAATAGAAGTAAAAACAACAGGGCTATGACAAGGGAGACAGGTTTGCCATGGCGGGGCAGAGAAACCTCCTTGATGTCTTGTGCTGTTCAGTCTGTGACACTTGTCACAGGTTACCCAGGGCCTGGCCACTTGTCACAGGTTACCCCGGGGCCTGACCACTTGTCACAGGTTACCCGGGGCCTGGCCACTTGTCACAGGTTACCCCAGAACCTGGCCACTTGTCACAGGTTACCCTAGGGCCTGGCCACTTGTCACAGGTTACCCTGGGGCCTGGCCACTTGTCACAGGTTACCCCAGAGCCTGGCCACTTGTCACAGGTTACCCAAAGCCTGGCCACTTGTCACAGGTTACCCAGGGCCTGGCCACTTGTCACAGGTTACCTAGGGCCTGGCCAATTGTCACAGGTTACCCTAGGGGCCTGGCCACTTGTCATAGGTTACCCTGGGGCCTGGCCACTTGTCACAGGTTACCCAGGGCCTGGCCACTTGTCACAGGTTACCCCAGGGGCCTGGCCACTTGTCACAGGTTACCCCAGGGCCTGGCCACTTGTCACAGGTTACCCCGGGACCTGGCCGCGAAAACACAAGAACCGCTGGAGAAGTCCATCAGTAAAAGGAAACATTTGATAGACTTTACAGTCTGTCTGTGTCTGTCTATTGTAACCTATACATGGGCCTGGTTGTACAGTTTAGTCTGTCTGTCCTATTGTCAACCTATACCAGGGCCTGGTTTGTAGTGTTCAGTCTGTCTGTCCACTTGTCACAGGTTACCATGTTTGGTTTGTAGTGTTCAGTCTGTCTGTCTGTTGTAACCTATACATGTTTGGTTTGTAGTGTTCAGTCTGTCTGCCTATTGTAACCTATACATGTTTGGTTTGTAGTGTTCAGTCTGTCTGTCTGTTGTAACCTATACATGTTTGGTTTGTAGTGTTCAGCCTGTCTGTCTGTTGTAACCTATACATGTTTGGTTTGTAGTGTTCAGTCTGTCTGTCTGTTGTAACCTTTACATGATTGGTTAGTAGTGTTCAGTCTGTCTGTCTATTGTAACCTATACATGTTTGGTTTGTAGTGTTCAGTCTGTCTGTCTATTGTAACCTAAACATGTTTGGTTTGATCTGTGCTCATATTACAATGGGTTCAGGTCGACAGACCTGGACCTGCGTTTAGTTTCAAGGTCAGTCCAGCCCTAAAGGCTGAAGTGATACATTCATGGGAAGTAAAGGCGGCCGGTGCGCTGGTGACCAGATCACCCTCCGAGTGTCGATTGGCAGGTAAAATATAGGTCTAGCCATTTATATCCAATTAGCTTCATTGTCGTGGATAAAGACCCTGGTGGATTGCTCTTTTATCCCTCATGGAGAATAGACCTTCCACAAACTCCAGAAAGACTCTCGTCATCTCTTGCTGCTCTCTTCTAGGTCTTTTTCAGTCTATTGTCATTTGTCTTCTGTGTGTGTGTGTGGTGTTTCTGTGCGCACATGTGTGTATCTGTGTGTTTTGCGTCCTCAAGTTTTTGGAAATTGAGTTGTTGACAAGTTGTTGGACATTCAGTGTTGTTCACAAGTTGTTGGACATCCAGTGTTGTCGCAAGTTGTTGGACATTCAGTGTTGTTCACAAGTTGTTGGACATTCAGTGTTGTTCACAAGTTGTTGGACATTCAGTGTTGTTCACAAGTTATTGGACATTCAGTGTTGTTCACAAGTTATTGGACATTCAGTGTTGTTCACAAGTTGTTGGACATTGTGTTGTTCACAAGTTGTTGGACATTGTGTTGTGCACAAGTTGTTGGACATTCAGTGTTGTTCACAAGTTGTTGGACATTCAGTGTTGTTCACAAGTTGTTGGACATTCAGTGTTGTTCACAAGTTGTTGGACATTCAGTGTTGTCACAAGTTGTTGGACATTCAGTGTTGTTCACAAGTTGTTGGACATTCAGTGTTGTTCACAAGTTGTTGGACATTCAGTGTTGTTCACAAGTTGTTGGACATTCAGTGTTGTCGCAAGTTGTTGGACATTCAGTGTTGTTCACAAGTTGTTGGACATTCAGTGTTGTTCACAAGTTGTTGGACATTCAGTGTTGTTCACATGTTGCTGACCTGTCCTATATTATTTCTGGTGTTGTGAAATCCCTCATGTTGCCCATATGTCCTGTATATGTCCTGCTTCATATTTATCTGTTGTCAATAACGTAATGAAGGTATATTTCATGTGTTCCACTTATAGGTCACTACAAATATGGACAGTGTCCACCACAAGACAGGACAGAAAACAGACAGGTAACACCTGCAGACTCCCAGCTAACCTCAGATACACACCAGACTTGGCAGAGATCACACAGCCATCAGCCAGGAAACTGCAGAAGCTGATGAACTTATGTACAAGATAAAGCTACATTAGGCCTGTAGCCTGCACCTGATCTTACAGTTGCTGGTAGTACAACAGCTCACAAGAGCAGAAGCATACACTCACGGAGGTGGAAGTAACCAACACTCACGGAGGTGGAAGTAACCAACACTCACGGAGGTGGAAGTAACCAACACTCACGGAGGTGGAAGTAACCAACACTCAGGGAGGTGAAGGTAATCAACACTCAGGGAGGTGAAGGTAATCAACACTCAGGGAGGTGAAGGTAATCAACACTCAGGGAGGTGAAGGTAATCAACACTCGGGGAGGTGGAAGTAACCAACACTCACAGTGGAAGTAACCAACACTCAGGGAGGTGAAGGTAATCAACACTCGGGGAGGTGAAGGTAATCAACACTCGGGGAGGTGGAAGTAACCAACACTCGGGGAGGTGGAAGTAACCAGTATAAACATTTTCTACTGCAACAACAAACTACTTGCATCACTCAGTGAACTCACCAACAGCAAACCAGCCAATGGTTGTGCAAGGCTGTGGTCACATGACTATGGCAGGTCTTGGCTTCAGTCAGGTCTGATTTGGTGGTGACCTTGTTCTGGACAGTTTTGTTCCACATCTGGTAGAGATGGCTTTCCCCAACAGAGAGCTAGAGGATTACTGGAATGAGTTCAGAAATATAGAGACTGACCACCACAGCGATGATGACGAGTTGTCGAAGACGCCAGATGGTGAGTAAAAATGTAATATCTGTCGGTGTCAAAGTTTTGACATCAGAATTGTGTTGTTCGGTCTGTGAGTGCGTGTCAAGGATATAAAGCCACATTTCATTCAAGGTGTACAGCCACATGTCATTCAGGGTATACAGCCACATGTATAATAGTGGACACAGGAGTTTAGCCACCTGTAGATATTGTCACTTTGGATATTTTCTTTTGCTTTCTTTTTTGCTCCGTTTTTTTAAATACTCAGATCAGACCATCAGGTGGGTTGCCTCTATGAACTTGCATGTCAGCTGCAGGTCCTTTGGCTGAATCAATAATTGCTTGCTGCTCCTGATGTTTGTTGAAAGTCTTCCAGAGGTGCATGATGTTTCTACTGTGGTCCCAGCTTGCAGCTCCTCCATTTTTTCTGCTCCCTCCAATGATCCATCGGTGTATATGTGTGTCCATTTGGGTTTTGGATAACAGTTGCAGACATGTTCAAGGGTCTTTGCATGCAGTACTAGGTCAATTCTTCAGTATTTCTGTCTATACCTGGGATTGTTGTTGTGACTGTATAGTTAGGCTGAAGGACTATGTTGTATACCTGGGATTGTTGTTGTGACTGTATAGTTAGGCTGAAGGACTATGTTGTATGCCTGGGATTGTTGTTGTGACTGTATAGTTAGGCTGAAGGACTATGTTGTATGCCTGGGATTGTTGTTGTGACTGTATAGTTAGGCTGAAGGACTATGTTGTATGCCTGGATCATTTTGTGACGTGTAGGGTCTTTAGAAGGATGTCCCTGTATTTTGGTGCTGTTGTTGTGACTGTTTTGATAGATGGTGGGATTGTTTTGTGACTGTATAGTTAGGCTGAAGGACTTGTTTGTATTGCCTGGGATTGTTGTTTTCTCTGTATTTGTTAGGCTGAAGGACTATGGGGTTGTTTGTTCATTTATAGTTATTTGTCTGTCAGGGTAAGCTATGTTCATCCCCCCCTGGGATTTTGTTGTGACTGTATAGTTCTGGCTGAAGGCCTATGTTGTATGCCTGGGATGTCTGTTGTGACTGTATAGTGCTTATCATACCTCCAGTGAACTGTAAATTAAGCTGAGACCAATGTTGCCTGGGATTGTTTTTGTGACTGTATAGTTTGTTGAAGGACTATGTTGTGTGCAATTTGTGAACTGTATAGCTCCCTGATGCCTATAATCCGGGATTGTTGTTATGTATGTATGTGTAGGCTTAGTCTATAGATTGCCTGGGATTGTTGTTGTGACTGTATAGTTAGTTTGAAGGATATGTTGTATGCCGCAGTTGTTGTGACTGTATAGTTCCTGAAGGTATCTGTTGTATGCCTGGGATTGTTGTTGTGACTGTTAGTTAGGCTGAAAGATATGTTGTATTTTACTGGGATAAATGTTGTGACTGTAAAGTTAAGCTGAAGGACTATGTTTGGGATGCCTGGGATGTTGTTGTGACTGTATAGGTGGCTGAAGGACTATGTTCTGGCCTGGGATGTTGTTGTGACTTATAGTTAGGCTGAAGGATATGCTGATGCCTGGGATTGTTGTTGTGACTGTATAGTTAGGCTGGAGGACTATGTTTATGCCTGGGATTGTAGTGACTGATAGGATGAAGGACTATGTTGTATGCCACAATTGTTGTTGTGACTGTAAGTGCTGAAGGATGTGTACTTCTGACTGGATTGTTGTTGTGACTGATAGTTATCTGAAGGTCTATGTTGTATGCCTGGGATTGTTGTTGTGACTGTATAGTTAGCTGAAGGACTGTGTTGTATCCTGGGATTGTTGTTGTGACTGTATAGTTTTAAGCTGAAGGACTGTGTTGTATACCTGGGATTGTTGTTGTGACTCGTTAGGCTGAAGGACTCTGTTGTATGCCTGGGATTGTTGTTGTGACTGTAAGTCCTGTAGGTCTATGTTGTATACCTGGGATTGTTGTTGTGACTGTAAAGTTAGGCTGAAGGACTATGTTGTATGCCTGGGATTGTTGTTGTGACTTATAGTTAGGCTGAAGGACCAGCCTTTGTATGCCTGGGATTGTTTGTTGTGACTGTATAGTTACCTGAAGCACTTGAGGCGGGACGCCATGTGACTGATAGTTAACAAGTCCCCTATGTTTTGCCTGGATTGTTGTTGTGACTGAGAGTTAAGCTGAGGACTGTTTTATGTCTGGTGTTGTTACTGTATAGTTAAGCAAGGAGTCTGTATGCCATTGTTGTTGTGACTGTATAGTATAGCTTAGGTCTGAATTTATGTTTGGGATTGTTGTTGTGACTAAATAGTTAGGCTGTAGCTATGGTATGCCTGGGATTGGCTAGGTGACTGTATAGTTAGGCTGTGTGAGGTCTATGTGTATGTTTGGGATTGTTGTTGTGACTGTATAGTTAGGCTGAAGGACTATGTTGTATGCCTGGGATTGTTGTTGTGACTGTATAGTTAGGCTGAAGGACTATGTTGTATGCCTGGGATTGTTGTTGTGACTGTAAAGTTAGGCTGAAGGACTATGTTGTATGCCCACTTGTTGTTGTGACTGTATAGTTAGGCTGAAGGACTATGTTGTATGCCTGGGATTGTTGACCACTTGTATAGTGTGATGTTGACCACTATGTTGTATGTGATTGTTGTTGTGACTGTATAGTTAGGCTGAAGGACTATGTTGTATACCTGGGATGTTGTTGTGACTGTTGTTAGGCTGAAGGACTATGTTGTATGCCTGGGATGTTGTTGTGACTGTATGTTGGCTGAAGGACTATGTTGTATGCCTGGGACCAGTTGTTGTGACTGTAAAGTTAGGCTGAAGGACTATGTTGTATGCCTGGGATTGTTGTTGTGACTGTATAGTTAGATGTTGACTATGTTGTATGCCTGTGATTGTTGTTGTGACTGTATAGTTAGGCTGAAGGACTATGTTGTATACCTGGGATTGTTGTTGTGACTGTATAGTTAGACCACTTGTTGTATGCCTGGGATTGTTGTTGTGACTGTAAAGTTAGGCTGAAGACTATGTTGTATGCCTGGGATTGTTGTTGTGACTGTTGACTGAAGGTCTATGTTGTTGCCTGTGATTGTTGACCACTGTATAGTTAAGCTGAAGGACTGTGTTGTATACCTGGGATTGTTGTTGTGACTGTATAGTTAGGCTGAAGGACTATGTTGTATGCCTGGATCATTTCCCACGTTGAAGGGTCTTAAGAATGGATGTCCCTTTTTTGGTGCTGAACAGTTTTGATAGATGGTGGAAGCTTTGTCTTTTCAGTTGGTTTTTGTTTTGTTTTGTGTTTTCTCTTGATATTTGTTATTCTGCGTATGGGGTTGTTGTTCTTCATTTACATTTTTCTGTCAGGGTAAGCACCTTTATCCCCCCTCCTTTGATGGCTCAAGCTCTGGAGGCCAGGTTGCCTCTATCTCATTGACTGGTGTGCTTCTCATAGCTCCAGTGAAGATTCTGAGACCAATGTTTTGTATTGTCCAGTTTGTTGAAATCTGATTTGGCAATTTTGAAGTATGCTCCCATGCCATAATCCGGTTTTATGCATATGTATTCTGTGTATACTTGTCATAGATTGTTGGCATCTGCATCCCAGCTTGTTCCAGTAAGTTTCTTCATAAGTCTGAGCCGCAGGGCAGCTTTCTTTTGGTATCTTCAATGTGGGAGCCCCAGTTTAGTCTATTGTTGAATTTTACTCATAAATATGTGGGTTTGTCTTTTTTTGGAAGGATGTTGACTTCTAGGTGCAGATCAAGTTGTTCTGGCTTTGTGGAGTTTGGTTTTAGGTTTAGACGACGGATCAACATTATGACACAAGGGCAGTAACCCATAAGTGCTCCATTCTACTTCTGACTCGAGCCTGAGTCCGAAGAATCTCAGCACAGTGCACGAACTCCGTAGCACTGGCAAGGATCCTGAAAATACTTTTGGTAGATTTTTAACTCAAAATGTTGCCTGGGCAGCGCCGTTAGGCTACTCTTTTCGATTTCCAACTGCCAAAGGATTTTTTTACACACAGGAATCCGTCTGGTACCCGTGGGGAATGTTGGAGTGAAAAATCCACCTTGTTGGGCTGGTTGAACCCGGGACCTCCACACTTGAGGCGGTGCCATGTTGACCAACTTGTCCCCTAGCTTTGTGGAAAGAGAGAAGAGAGTTGTTTTTGTGGTGTATTATGACCAGTTGTCCATTTCTGGTGTATGTATAGCTTTCTGAATTTATGTTTGAGTTGTTCCTAAATGTTCAGCTTGGGCCCATATGGCTAGGTAATCTGCATGTGATGTGAGTTGTGAACTGTTTGGGGAGGTCAATAATGATTGGATATATCAGATGTTGTTTACCATACTTTAGTTTATATTTAGACATATATGTTTATGTTGACCACTTGTTGGTGTGACGTTGACCACTTGTTGGTGTGATGTTGACACTTGTTGGTGTGATGTTGACCACTTGTTGGTGTCATGTTGACCACTTGTTGGTGTGATGTTGACCACTTGTTGTTGTGATGTTGACCACTTGTTGGTGTGATGTTGACCACTTGTTGGTGTGATGTTGACCACTTGTTGTTGTGATGTTGACCACTTGTTATTGTGATGTTGACCACTTGTTGGTGTGGTGTTGACCAGTTGTTGGTGTGGTGTTGACCAATTGTTGGTGTGGTGTTGACCACTTGTTATTGTGATGTTGACCACTTGTTATTGTGATGTTGACCACTTGTTATTGTGATGTTGACCACTTGTTATTGTGATGTTGACCACTTGTTGGTGTGATGTTGACCACTTGTTGGTGGGATGTTGACCAGTTGTTGGTGTGATGTTGACCAGTTGTTGGTTTGATGTTGACCACTTGTTGGTGTGATGTTGACCACTTGTTGGTGTGATGTTGACCACTTGTTGGTGTGATGTTGACCACTTGTTGGTGTGATGTTGACCACTTGTTGGTGTGCTGTTGACCACTTGTTGGTGTGATGTTGACCACTTGTTGGTGTGATGTTGACCACTTGTTGGTGGGATGTTGACCAGTTGTTGGTGTGATGTTGACCAGTTGTTGGTGTGATGTTGACCACTTGTTGGTGTGATGTTGACCAGTTGTTGGTGTGATGTTGACCACTTGTTGGTGTGATGTTGTCCACTTGTTGGTGTGATGTTGACCACTTGTTGTTGTGATGTTGACCACTTGTTGGTGTGCTGTTGACCACTTGTTGGTGTGATGTTGACCACTTGTTGGTGTGATGTTGATCACTTGTTGGTGTGCAGTTAGAGATTACAGTAAGGTGCAGTGGATGACTGTTTAGTGATAAATTGTGCAATATAACATGTTATATTGTATGGACACCTTTATTGTCATACTGTATTTACAAATACAACATGACAGACTTGCAGTTGGCACATTGTGTGAGATATCATGTTGTGTGAGATGTCAATCATGTTGTGTGAGATGTCACGCTGTGTGAGATGTCACATTGTAGGAGATGTCACATTGCTGAGATGTCATGTTGTGGAGATGTCACGTTGCGTGAGATGTCACACTGTGTGTCACATTCTGGGAGATGTCACGTTGTGGTCATTAATGATAATTTTGTTTCCAACAGAAGGGGAAGTTGATGCCGAGTGGTTGGACGCTGCTGGTTTCAGCTTTGTGGTCAGCAAGTTTCAAGGTTTGCAGTTTTTGTTGTTGTGACTGCTGTTCTGTTTTGGCTCCTGCTGTTGTTGTGACTGCTGTTGTTGCAGCTATTGTTGTTGTGGCTGTTGTTGTTTTTGTGACTGCTGTTGTTGTTGAGGCTGATGCTGTTGTTGTTGTGGCTGCTGCTGTTGTTGTTGTTGTGGCTGCTGTTCTTGTTTTGGCTGCTGCTGCTGCTGTTATGACTGCTGTTTTTGCAGCTATTGTTGTTGTGGATGTTGTTGTTTTTGTGACTGCTGTTGTGACTGCTGTGGTTGATTTGGCTGCTGCTGTTGTTGTGACTGCTGTTGTTGCAGCTATTGTTGTTGTGGATGTTGTTTTTGTGACTGCTGTTCTTGTTTTGGCTGTTGGTGTTTTGTGGCTGCTGCTGTTGTTGTTGTTGAGGCTGATGCTGCTGTTGTTGTGACTGCTGTTGTTGTTGTGGTTGTGGCTGCTGCTGTTGTTGTTGTTGTGGCTGCTGCTGTTGTTTTTGTAACTGCTGTTCTTGTTTTGGCTGCTGCTGCTGTTGTGACTGCTGTTTTTGCAGCTATTGTTGTTGTGGATGTTGTTGTTTTTGTGACTGCTGTTGTGACTGCTGTGGTTGTTTTGGCTGCTGCTGTTGTTGTGACTGCTGTTGTTGCAGCTGTTGTGACTGCTGTTGTGGTGTGACTGCAGTTCTGTTTTGTTGCAGCTATTGTTGTTGTGGCTGTTGTTGTTTTTGTGACTGCTGTTCTTGTTTTGGCTGCTGCTGCTGTTGTTGTTGTTGTGGCTGCTGCTGTTGTTGTTGTGACTTGGATGTTTGATCTGTTGTGTCTTGGATGTTTGATCTGTTGTGTCTTGGGTGTTTGATCTGTTGTGTCTTGGATGTTTGATCTGTTGTGTCTTGGATGTTTGATCTGTTGTGTCTTGGATGTTTGATCTGTTGTGTCTTGGATGTTTGATCTGTTGTGTCTTGGATGTTTGATCTGTTGTGTCTTGGATGTTTGATCTGTTGTGTCTTGGATGTTTGATCTGTTGTGGTGTTGTGTCTTGGATGTTTGATCTGTTGTGTCTTGGATGTTTGATCTGTTGTGTCTTGGATGTTTGATCTGTTGTATCTTCAGCTACGGATCGTTAATGGATCTTCTTCATCATCGTCATCATCATGTGCCCTACAGATAGATGTTGATAGTCATGTTTTGCTATCCCATATTATCACCAGAATCACAGATCAGGACAGTGCTCCTGATTGGTCCCATCTGCATTCTACAATGTCATGAAGCAAGCCTCCAAGTCCATCATGCTTGTTCCAGCTATTTCTTATTCTTTTTCTCTTCCAACTTGTACCTCAGGGAAGTGTTAAGGGAGATGTAATGTTCGTTGATGAGCTCTGTCAAGAGCACTATTAAGATTGATGTTCATTTCTAAAAAGCTGATATTTTTTGCCATCACTCCATCTTTTTCTGAGATCTTTCCCTCGCTCTATACCCGTTGTAACATTTCAGTGTGGTTTGCTATCATAGATAGTACCAGGGCATTCTTGTTGGGTGTTCAAACCACTTCATTTGTTGTTCTTTGATGACCTGAAGGACTGGTTTTATTCCTAACATTGTCTTGAAACAACAGGTCAGCCGCTGGCGCTTTAGACAGCTCAGGAGTATAACTATGTCTACACAGACACCACATCACACATACACCATCTCACACAGACACATCACATAGACACCATGTCACATGACACTATATCACACATACACCATCTCACACAGACACCATGTCACAGAGACACCATGTCACATGACACTATATCACACATACACCATCTAACACAGACACGACGTCACAGAGACACCATGTCACATGTCACTATATCACACATACACCATCTAACACAGACACCACGTCACAGAGACACCATGTCACATGTCACTATATCACACATACACCATCTAACACAGACACCACGTCACAGAGACACCATGTCACATGTCACTATATCACACATACACCATCTAACACAGACACCACGTCACAGAGACACCATGTCACATGTCACTATATCACAGAGCTGCATTTCTCAGTAATTATTGTCACTGTGACGTGACTTGTCTGGTTCAAACAGATGGGAGAGACCTGTCAGATGACGAGCTGGAGACAATGACCGACACACTGACACAGGTCCAGGCCGAGGCTGTCAGGAAGCGCATCAGTGCCCTCAGCACTACCATGCGCAGGAAGCACAAGGGCAGTAAAGTCCATGTCAAGGACATATTTACCACCTCCAGTGACCCCCGACAGGTCAGATGTGTGTATATTTAGCTGAATGTGTTGTCCTTTACTTTTCTTTCCGTTCTTTCTTTACCAAAAAACAAATTAAGTGGCTCCCATTTTGCATGCAATCAACAAAGGCTGCATCATTGAACCATACAATCAACAAAGGCTGCATCATTGAACCATACAATCAACAAAGGCTGTATTATTGAACCACACAATCAACAAAGGCAGCATCATTGAACCACACAATCAACAAAGGCTGCATCATTGAACCACACAATCAGCAAAGGCTGCATCATTGATCCATACAATCAACAAAGGCTGTATTATTGAACCACACAATCAACAAAGGCTGCATCATTGAACCACACAATCAACAAAGGCTGCATCATTGAAACATACAATGAACAAAGGCTGCATCATTGAACCACACAATCAACAAAGGCTGCATCATTGATCCACACAATCAACAAAGGCTGCATCATTGATCCATACAATCAACAAAGGCTGCATCATTGAACCACACAATCAACAAAGGCTGAATCATTGATCCATACAATCAACAAAGGCTGCATCATTGAAACATACAATCAACAAAGGCTGCATCATTAAACCACACAATCAACAAAGGCTGCATCATTGAACCAAACATTCAACAAAGGCTGCATTAATGAACAACACAATCAACAAAGGCTGCATCATTGAACCACACAATCAACAAAAGCTGCATCATTGAACCATACAATCAGAAAGGCACCATGTCACAGGCTGGCTGCATCATTGATCCATACAATCAACAAAGGCTGCATCATTGAACACACATAACAAGGCTGCATCAAACCATCATTGAACAACAAAAAGCTGCATCATTGAACCACACAATCAACAAAGGCTGCATCATTGAACCAACATTCAACAAAGGCTGCATCATTGAAACCATACAATCAACAAAGGCTGCATCATTGAACCACACAATCAACAAAAGCTGCATCATTGAACCATACAATCAACAAAGGCTGCATCATTGAACCATACAATCAACAAAGGCTGCATCATTGAACCACACAATCAACAAAGGCTGCATCATTGAACCACACAATCAACAAAGGCTGCATCATTGAACCACACAATCAACAAAGGCTGCATCATTGAAACATACAATCAACAAAGGCTGCATCATTGAAACATACAATCAACAAAGGCTGCATCATTCAACCATACAATCAACAAAGGCTGCATCATTAAACCATACAATCAACAAAGGCTGCATCATTGAACCAAACAATCAACAAAGGCTGCATCATTAAACCACAGAATCAACAAAGGCTGCATCATTGAATCATACAATCAACAAAGGCTGCATCATTGAATCATATAGAAAATGAATGCATCATTGATAATCTCCCTGTTTTGTTAAATAACAGTTAGATCAATTTATTTTATTCAGTCGAATTACTGAATACATCGGGGAGTGGTGAGAGGAGACCTTGGACTAAACAAGAAAACAGTAGTCGACTTGAAACATACTGACAATAAAATAGAAACCATTGGAGAAAAAGGCTGTGTATGATTGATATGGGTCCAAGTCAACAATTTATGGGGATGTGGGTATAAAGCACAACACTGATCAACAAAGCTGCATCTTCCATTGTACCACACTGGTCACACAAGGCTGTACCATAGACTACAACACTGGTCACACAAGTTCTTCCATAGACTACAACACTGGTCAACAAAGTCTTCCCTTGACTACAACACAATCAACAAAGTTCTGCATCATTACAACACTGGTCACACAAGTCAACAAAGGCTACATCATTGAATCACACAATCAACAAAGGCTGCATCATTGGTCACACAAGTTATTCCACAGACTAGAAAATGACACAAGTTTTCCATAGAACCAGCTGTTCCAGTCTGTTCTAATCTCATCCTGTTTTCCACAGTAAATGGTCCACACAAGTTTTCCAGTTACATAACCCACACAATTTAATTCAGTACGAACACTATCACAATACATCCATAGACTACAACACTGGTGAGACAAGTTAACTTGGACTAAACAAGAAAACAGTAGTCGACTGACTTGAACTAAGCAATAAAATATCCATTGGAGAAATAGACAGGAAATTTGAGGATATGGGTCTTTGTGGGGATATGATAATTTATGGCAATGTGGGTGATAGACTACAACACTGGTCACACAAGTTCTTCCACAGACTACAACACTGGTCACACAAGTTCTACCATAGACTACAACACTGGTCACACAAGTTCTTCCATAGACTACAACACTGGTCACACAAGTTCTTCCATAGACTACAACACTGGTCACACAAGTTCTTCCATAGACTACAACACTGGTCACACAAGTTCTTCCATAGGCTACAACACTGGTCACACAAGTTCTTCCACAGACTACAACACTGGTCACACAAGTTCTACCAAAGGCTACAACACTGGTCACACAAGTTCTACCATAGGCTACAACACTGGTCACACAAGTTCTTCCACAGACTACAACACTGGTCACACAAGTTCTTCCACAGACTACAACACTGGTCACACAAGTTCTTCCACAGACTACAACACTGGTCACACAAGTTCTTCCACAGACTACAACACTGGTCACACAAGTTCTTCCATAGACTACAACACTGGTCACACAAGTTCTTCCATAGACTACAACACTGGTCACACAAGTTCTACCATAGACTACAACACTGGTCACACAAGTTCTTCCATAGACTACAACACTGGTCACACAAGTTCTTCCATAGACTACAACACTGATCACACAAGTTCTTCCATAGTCTACAACACTGGTCACACAAGTTCTTCCATAGACTACAACACTGGTCACACAAGTTCTTCCACATCGAGGATTGAAATCTTGTGACCCAGACAGCGTTCTTTCACTCCCTGCCCCCACCCCTTTTCTGCTGATACCAGATTCACCAGACAGTGTTCTGGACAGCTGACAGTCAGAGGACAGTGATTACGAGAGTCTAGACAAAGTATTCCCTACAGAGTTATATTATCCTATTCTATTTTGTTGTACGTAAGATAAACTTTTGGTAATCTCTGACAGATAATTCAGGAAGAAGCAGCCACACTACCAAGGACGGGGTCCAGCAGCAGTCAGTCAATCAGCCTGCTCATTTCCCCACACACCAGACAATCAGCCTGCTCATTTCCCCACACACCTGACAGTCAGCCTGCTCATTTCCCCACACACCTGACAATCAGCCTGCTCATTTCCCCACACACCAGACAATCAGCCTGCTCATTTCCCCACACACCAGACAATCAGCCCGCTCATTTCCTCACACGGCCATCTCTTCTGTGCAACCATCTCTCCCCACACACCAGACAATCAGCCTGCTCATTTCCCCACACACCTGACAGTCAGTTTGCTCATTTCCCCACACACCTGACAATCAGCCTGCTCATTTACCCACACACCAGACAGTCAGCCTGCTCATTTCCCCACACACCAGACAGTCAGCCTGCTCATTTCCCCACACACCTGACAATCAGCCTGCTCATTTCCCCACACACCTGACAATCAGCCTACTCATTTCCCACACACCTGACAATCAGCCTGCTCATTTCCCCACACACCAGACAATCAGCCTGCTCATTTCCCCACACACCAGACAATCAGCCCGCTCATTTCCCCACACACCAGACAATCAGCCTGCTCATTTCCCCACACACCTGACAGTCAGCCTGCTCATTTCCCCACACACCTGACAATCAGCCTGCTCATTTCCCCACACACCAGACAGTCAGCCTGCTCATTTCCCCACACACCAGACAGTCAGCCTGCTCATTTCCCCACACACCTGACAATCAGCCTGCTCATTTCCCCACACACCAGACAATCAGCCTGCTCATTTCCCCACACACCTGACAATCAGCCTGCTCATTTCCCCACACACCAGACAGTCAGCCTGCTCATTTCCCCACACACCAGACAGTCAGCCTGCTCATTTCCCCACACACCAGACAGTCAGCCCGCTCATTTCCCCACACACCAGACAGTCAGCCTGCTCATTTCCCCACACACCAGACAGTCAGCCTGCTCATTTCCCCACACACCAGACAATCAGCCTGCTTATTTCCCCACACACCTGACAGTCAGCCTGCTCATTTCCCCACACACCTGACAATCTTGGACAAAACATAACCAAAATCTGACTTTACTTTTACTGAATCTATTATAGAGGAATGGGGAACAGTTCTGTGTGGCTGTCCATTTGTCATTTCAGTGTCACTAAATGTCATTTTAATGTTACTGTGTGCCATTTCAATGTTACGGTGTCTCATTTCAATCTTACTGTGTGTCACTTCACTGTTACCATGTGTCATTCCATAGCTACCATGTGTCATTCCATAGCTACCATGTGTCATTCCATTGTTATCTTGTGTTAGTTCAAGTTGCCTTGTGTCATTCTATTGTTACCATATGCCATTCCAGTGTTACCATATGTTATTCCAGTGTTACCTTGTGTCATTCTATTGTTACAGTGTGTTATTTTATTTCAGTTTTACTAAATAATTTTCTCCCACCAGGTGTCACCACTTTAGGCTTCCGCCCCCGCAGTCGTAGTGGACCCAGCTCAGATCAGTATGTCCGACTTTCCTCCATCTCGGATATTGAAGTCTCTGTGGACTTTCATTTGGAGGAGGCAGAAGGCAAGGTATATGATTCTAGTGTGACTGGCCCATAAGGATGGAGATATTATCTAACATGGATAAATCCACAGGTTGTCTAACACGGAAGAGTGCACAGGATGTCTGTATGGATGAGCACTGAAATTTGCCTGGAATGTGAGTGCATCAAAGATTTTCCTGATATGAAAGAGAACACTGAGAGTTGCCTGGGTTTGATGAAAGCACCCGTAATTACACGAATGAGTGCATTCAAGTGCGCCTAGTGCGGATGAAAGCACCCGTAATTACACGAATGAGTGCATTCAAGTGCGCCTAGTGCGGATGAAAGCACCCGTAATTACACGAATGAGTGCATTCAAGTGCGCCTAGTGCGGATGAAAGCACCATTAATACATGACATGGATGAGCACCTTGTTTAGAGTGGCTGCTGCTTCGAGAACTTAAAATAACATCTTTAGTTTCTGAATGTAGATGAATGCAAACCTGTAATGTTTCTGAATGCCCTGTTTCAGACACATCCTGTGGAGTCTCACTTACCCGACCCACATCGAGTGGAGCTCCCTGTAAGTAGTTTTATCTGGAAATGAAATCAGTGGAGCGTTTCTGCTTTTTCACTTTATCATCATTCTGCTTATGTACATATTTCACTAAGTTACTTATGAGTCCCCTATTTGTGAATCACTTGCCAGTCACCTAACTGTCAGTCACTTGCCAGTCACCTATCTGTCAGTCACTTGCCAGTCACCTATCTGTCAGTCACTTGCCAGTCACTTGTCTGTCAGCCAGCTATCAGTACCTGTCTGTCAGTCACTTGCCAGTCACCTATCTGTCAGTCACTTGCCGGTCAGTTAGTATCATAAGTCCTTTAACCTATCAGTCATTTGCCTGTCAATCATATATTTTAAAAATATTTTACAAATATTTTACTCCATTTTATAATGATGTTTGTGATTTTATGCAAATTTGTTATGTAGAATATTTTATTGATGATGTTGAGGTGTCTACACGAAACTGACGAAATCAAATCTGTCCAGACAAATGAGCAGGCAAATGATGAGTTGTTTTAATCTCAGAAATGTTTCACAGCAGATGTCCATCAAGGAATGGCAGTCAACCAGTCAGTCAGTCAACCAGTCAGTCAGTCAGTTAGTGAATCAGTTAACCATCCAGTCAGTCAGCCAATGATTCAGTCAGTCAGCCATTCAGTCTGTCAGTCAACTATTCAGTTTGTCAGTCAACCATACACTCAGTCAGTCAACCATTCAATCAGTCCAACCATTCAGTCAGTCAGTCAACCATTGAGTCAGTCATTCAGTCAGTAGAGCTTGAAGACTTATTTGACAAATGGTTCTAGATGCATATTTGTATAGACCAGTTTCCTTGTATTGATTCCAGGACCCCATTGGGTGAACAGGCGGGGAACCAACAGTTTGCATATAGATAAACCAGATCTGTAAAACAGTTGTGCATGCAAAACTCACGTTTTGAAACAAGATCAAATTACAGAAGTGAATGAACAACCAGAACTTTCTCTCAGACTTTACAGACAGGGAATTTAAGAAAGAAATATGTAGAATTATTCTGGTGTAAAATGTCTCCCAATTACTGGTCTACTTTTGTTTGTCAGACCATTGTTACTTGTCCTGTTTTTTTTTAAATTCAAACAAATTGTACTGCAACATTTTCTCTCAAACAGCTCCTTTGATTCTAACTTTTGCTGAGTTTTATTGTGTCTTATAATTTTTTTTTAGGGGGGGGGGGGGGGGGGTTTCTTATTTTATTTAGCTCCTCAAATTGTGTCCTAACAAGGAGACCACTGCATTTACTTTTTCCTTCAGGCTTTTGAGCCCAAACTGGATCCTTTAGGTGTGACCTTGATAGGTGACCTTGCTGAATGTGACATGTGGAGAGTCAAAGCCCTGGCTCACATTGAACTCACAGCCTTGTTTGATGAATATAACATCATGTACTCCAGGGCCAAGCGAAGGAAAAAGGTCAAAGGTCAGGTTCAAATGTTGAAATAACAAATTTATTGTATGTTAATTTTGTTTGTTTTGTTGCCACGGCTTTATTTACGTTGTATTGTGTGTTGGGTTTTTATGTTAGTGTGATCATGTATATGCATATTCAGGTAATGTCAACAAGAGTGTTTAAGGATATTTAAATTGTAGACCTGTGATCTGTTTTTCTAAAGTGTTGTAAAGCTAAGATTTTTGTAAAGTCAAGGGTATTGTGACATTTTCTCAGATATACATACAGGCTATTTTGTATTTTTTATAAATATCATTTCCCGTTTCCATTTTACCATTTACTCATATGCTCCCTGATTGGTTGGTTACTGAGAACAATATAACTAGAATGTCTGTGCATTGGAACCCACAGGGTCAGTGAATAAACACAGACCCAGAAACACACAACAGAGAGAATTAAAGAGTGAAGCTAAAATGTTGCAGTTAGCTGGGGGTCTGTGCTCCTTTCTGGGGTTAGCTGGGGGTCATTGCTCCTTTCTGGGGTTAGCTGGGGGTCTGTGCTCCTTTCTGGGGTGTGCTGGGGGTCCATGCTCCTTTCTGGGGTGTGCTGGGGGTCCATGCTCCTTTCTGGGGTTAGCTGGGGGTCATTGCTCCTTTCTGGGGTTAGCTGGGGGTCTGTGCTCCTTTCTGGGGTTAGCTGGGTGTCCATGCTTTTTTCTGGGGTGTGCTGGGGGTCTGTGCTCCTCTCTGGGGTTAGTTGGGGGTCCATGTTCCTTTCTGGGGTTAGCTGGGGGTCTGTGCTCCTTTCTGGGGTTAGCTGGGGGTCTGTACTCCTTTCTGGGGTTAGCTGGGGGGTCTGTGCTCCTTTCTGGGGTTAGCTGGGGGTCCATGCTCCTTTCTGGGGTTAGCTGGGGGTCCATGCTCCTTTCTGGGGTGGGCTGGGGTCCTGTGTGCTCCTTTCTGGGGTGTGCTGGGGGTCTGTGCTCCTTTCTGGGTGGGGGATGCTCGGGGTCCATGCTCCTTTCTGGGGTTAGCTGGGGGTCTGTGCTCCTTTCTGGGGTGTGCTGGGGGTCTGTGCTCCTTTCTGGGGTGTGCTTGGGGTCCATGCTCCTTTCTGGGGTTAGCTGGGGGGGTCTGTGCTCCTTTGTGGGGTGTGCTGGGGGTCCATGCTCCTTTCTGGGGTGAGCTGGGGGTCCGTGCTCCTTTCTGGGGTTAGCTGGGGGTCCATGCTCCTTTCTGGGGTTAGCTGGGGGTCATTGCTCCTTTCTGGGGTGTGCTGGGGGTCCATGCTCCTTTCTGGGGTGTGCTGGGAGTCCGTGCTCCTTTCTGGGGTTAGCTGGGGGTCCATGCTCCTTTCTGGGGTTAGCTGGGGGACCATGCAAATTTATGGGGTGTGCTGTGGGTCTGTGCTCCTTTCTAGGGTTAGCTGGGGGTCCATGCTCCTTTCTGGGGTTAGCTGGGGGTCCATGCTCCTTTCTGGGGTTAGCTGGGGGTCTGTGCTCCTTTCTAGGGTTAGCTGGGGGTCTGTGCTCCTTTCTTAGGTGAGCTGCATGAAACAGCATCAGACAGGAGACCTTGGCATGAGTTGGGGTCTATGCTCCTTTGGGGAAGTTAAAAAGCAGAAGGGGGAAAAATGAGGAAAACAGAGGAACAATTGAACACAATATCCAGTTATTAGTTGAAACACAACTAGAATGTGATAGGCTGCACAAGAAAAGGGTCAGAGCAGCTAGAACGCTGGGCTCTAAAGTGGGAGATCCGGGTTCAAATCTTTGGAAAGGCTGGGGGATTTCTTCTGTCGGCTCAAAGAACCCTGCTCCCTACACCGCAGAAGTGGTAAAATAAAGACAGAAATTGGTAGTGGTTTGTTTGGCACATGAAAGGAGGAGGAGGAGTCAAGGGGACAAATATCTGATCTCTGCATGTTTGATAACAGAGCTTGACGACACAATTAGAGTTTGACGACAGTATTAGAGCTTGATGACAGTATGAGAGCTTGATGACAGTATTAGAGCTTGATAACAGTATTAGAGCTTGATGACAGTATTAGAGCTTGATGACAGTATCTGAGCTTGATGACAGTATCAGAGCTTGATGAAAGTATCTGAGCTTGATGACAGTATTAGAGCTTGAGGACAGTATTAGAATTTGATGACAGTATCAGAGCTTGATGACAGTATTAGAGCTTGATGACACTATCAGAGCTTGATGACAGTATCAGAGCTTGATGACATTATCAGAGCTTGATGACAGTATGAGAGCTTGATGACAGTATTAGAGCTTGATGACAGTATTAGAGCTTGATGACAGTATTAGAGCTTGATGACAGTATCTGAGCTTGATGACAGTATCAGAGCTTGATGACAGTATCTGAGCTTGATGACAGTATTAGAGCTTGAAGACAGTATTAGAATTTGATGACAGTATCAGAGCTTGAAGACAGTATCAGAGCTTGATGACAGTATTAGAATTTGATGACAGTATTAGAGCTTGATGACAGTATCAGAGCTTGATGACAGTATTAGAATTTGATGACAGTATTAGAATTTGATGACAGTATTAGAATTTGATGACAGTATCAGAGCTTGATGACAGTATTAGAATTTGATGACAGTATTAGAATTTGATGACAGTATCAGAGCTTGATGACAGTATCAGAGCTTGATGACAGTATCAGAGCTTGATGACAGTATTAGAATTTGATGACAGTATCAGAGCTTGATAACAGTATTAGAATTTGATGACAGTATCAGAGCTTGATGACAGTATCAGAGTTTGATGACAGTATTAGAATTTGATGATAGTATTAGAGCTTGAGGGCAGGGTCAGAGTGTGATGATAATATTAGAATTTAATGAAATTATCTGATGACATTGTCATATATTTTATAAATTGTGTGTTTGTGTGTGTGTGTTTGTGTGCATGTTATTATGTGTGTGTGTGTTAATATGTGTGCTCTTGTAAAACATCTGTGTTAATGAGTATATGTGTGCTCTTGTAAAACATCTGTGTTAATGAGTATATGTGTGCTCTTGTAAAACATCTGTGTTAATGAGTATATGTGTGCTCTTGTAAAACATCTGTGTTAATGAGTATATGTGTGCTCATGTAAAACATCTGTGTTAATTTCCCCAGATCATGGAATATTTGGGGTGCCCCTCGACATTTTAGTGGAACGGGACCAAAAGAGGACGCCTGGAACCAAAGTCCCGGTGGTGTTTCAAGTGGTCAGTCTCCTCGTGTCTTTGTTCATGTGTGTGTGTGTGTCTTTGTTCATGTGTGTGTGTGTCTTTGTTCATGTGTGTGTGTGTGTGTCTTTGTTCATGTGTGTGTGTCTTTGTTCATGTGTGTGTGTGTGTGTCTTTGTTCATGTGTGTGTGTCTTTGTTCATGTGTGTGTGTGTGTGTGTCTTTGTTCATGTGTGTGTGTGTCTTTGTTCATGTGTGTGTGTCTTTGTTCATGTGTGTGTGTGTGTGTCTTTGTTCATGTGTGTGTGTCTTTGTTCATGTGTGTGTGTGTGTGTGTCTTTGTTCATGTGTGTGTGTCTTTGTTCATGTGTGTGTGTGTGTGTGTCTTTGTTCATGTGTGTGTGGGTGTCTTTGTTCATGTGTGTGTGTCTTTGTTCATGTGTGTGTGTGTGTGTCTTTGTTCATGTGTGTGTGTGTCTTTGTTCATGTGTGTGTGTGTGTGTGTGTCTTTGTTCATGTGTGTGTGTCTTTGTTCATGTGTGTGTGTGTGTGTCTTTGTTCATGTGTGTGTGTCTTTGTTCATGTGTGTGTGTCTTTGTTCATGTGTGTGTGTGTGTGTCTTTGTTCATGTGTGTGTGTGTGTCTTTGTTCATGTGTGTGTGTGTGTCTTTGTTCATGTGTGTGTGTGTGTGTGTGTGTCTTTGTTCATGTGTGTGTGTGTGTGTGTGTCTTTGTTCATGTGTGTGTGTGTGTGTGTGTCTTTGTTCATGTGTGTGTGCGTTTGTGTCTGTGTGTGGGTGTCTTTGTTCATGTGTGTGTGTGTCTGTGTCTGTGTTAATGTGTGTGTGTCTTTGTTAATGTGTGTGTGTGTGTCTTTGTTTATGTGTGTGTGTGCGTCTTTGTTCATGTGTGTGTGTGTGTCTTTGTTCATGTGTGTGTGTGTGTGTCTTTGTTTATGTGTGTGTGTGTGTGTGTGTGTCTTTGTTCATGTGTGTGTGCGTTTGTGTCTGTGTGTGGGTGTCTTTGTTCATGTGTGTGTGTCTGTGTCTGTGTTAATGTGTGTGTGTCTTTGTTAATGTGTGTGTGTGTGTCTTTGTTCATGTGTGTGTGTGTCTTTGTTAATGTGTGTGTGTGTGTGTGTGTGTGTGTCTTTGTTCATGTGTGTGTATGTGTGTGTCTTTGTTCATGTGTGTGTGTCTTTTGTTCATGTGTGTGGGTGAAAATTGAAAGGGAGAAAAGCTTTCATGTGTTGTAAAAGAGCAAAACAGAAAGTTTCTTGTGACAACAGAGAAGAAGCAGAAGGAGTGATAGACTGAGAGAATGTTGTCAGAAAAAGACATTGATCTGAGACAGGTGGTGTTCATTTGTAATTTGAACATTTTGTCTCCACAGATGATCAACTTCCTGGAGAAAGAAGGTCTGAGAACTGAAGGTATTCTGAGAATGTCAGGGGCAGAAACCAGAGTTAAGGTACCAGAGATTAGAGTTAATGTTCTTGAGTCGCAGATATCTAGTCTGTATGTAAAACCAGTGTCTGTTATATATGATTTGCAATATTCTTGGATTAGTTTGTAAACACAAGAATTGTTAGACACTGGTCAGCCCTGTCACTGTACAAGTGTCAACAAGCAGAGGATGCTGGGAGACAACTGCTCGCTTTAGTCATTGAAATCACATTTTGGTTTACAGCTACAATATGAAACTGTCGTTACAGAATTCAGCAGCTGTGGGGAAAGTGATGCTTAGAATTCAATGCCATTTGCCAGGACAGTTGCCCCCCAAACCTACACACTTGATTTTTTTATTCAGAATTTCATCTCCCAGTAAAGAATAAGCCCAGTAAACTGGAAGTGACACCAAGCCTGGAAGTGACACCAGCCTTGAATGCTGACACCAGGCCTGGAAGTGACACCAGGCCTGGAAGTGACACCAGGCCTGGAAGTGACATCAGGCTGTTGCAGAATGTTTGGAAGGTTGAATGAGGTATTTGTGTGTTGGTTGTTATCCAGTATAAGGTTTCAAGATTGATCAAGCAGCCTAGCTGGGGGTGTGGGGAGCAGCTGATGATGCCGACAACAGTGAGACTTACTTTATTGTACCCAGTGATTTGCGATCTGTCAATAAAAATGTGAAGGTTAATGTCTGATGTCCTCTTTATTTTTTATTTATTTCTTCTCCTTCTTCTTAGCATTCACTGACTGTAAACTCCAGAGAAAAGGTTTGGTTGTTTGTCCACTTCTGGGCTTTGGTCTTGCTCCAGAACTTGAGCTGTGCCTGCACTCTCATTTGACACATCTGGCTGATTTTTTAGCTGTTGGTTCCTGATGAGATGTTGAGATGTTGAGATGTTGAGATGTACTCCAGTTTAAAGAAAACATTTCTAATTAGTCACCCCTTTTGTGACATACTTGTTATGGGAATATTGGGTCTGTTCTTGTCCCCTCAAAATGGGGTGCCAGAATCCACATGAGTAACATTTATTTTGCTAACAGGGGGATAGAATCATACGTGCTATCTCCTTCAATAAATGGTTTTGAAGTACACGGTAATTTATTACACTATCAGATTTTATGAGACCAGCACTTCAGTCCTGACCTTTTTATGTTTATTTTCGCAGCAACTTCGGCAAGATCTGGAGGAGAAATTCTACCAAGGCCTCTTCTCTTGGGGGGATGCTGGTCCTCACGACGTGGCAGTGTTGTTGAAACAGTTTCTCCGGGAGCTGCCTGCACCTCTTCTCTCCTACAGCTACCTCGAGGCATTTCCCCAAATTAGCAGTGAGCATAATTAACAGCATTTACTTCCATGAACTCTTCCTTTCTGCCCTTTTTTTCCCTTGCAGGAAGCAGTCTCTCTCGGAGTGGATCACTTTGAAGTGTCTTGTTGCCATTGACCCTTGCATTTGCTCTAGATGAGCCACTTTACCAGCAGTAGTTGCTGAATAATAACTGCTGCTGTCAGTCATGCAGACAACAATGGTTGCTCCCTGTTACCTCACAGCAACAATGGTTGCTCCCTGTTACCACACAGTCTCCTATCAAAGCAATGTTACTGATTTTCTACATAAATCTGAACTGACACATTCAATCATTGGTTTCTTCAGTTCACTGAAATAATCGCTTATCTGCTTCATCTATATAGTTGTTACTGGAGTATGAACATGATGAGATACAGCGAAATATACCAGACAGTAAAGTGTGCGATCTACCTTCACAGTCTGTGGCAACAGCACTGGTCATGTGGCCCTAAATCCTCAGGCTCAACCACCCATCCCCCCATAAAGTGTTAAATACAGGAAGTTATGTCAGTTTGAGGGGGGGGGGATATATTATAACAGTCTGAATGTGACAAAACCACACTGAGTTGTGACAAAACCACACCGTCTGAGGTACAAAACCACACAGTCTGAGTGACAAAACCACACAGTCTGAGTGACAAAACCACACAGTCTGAGGTACAAAACCACACAGTCTGAGTGACAAAACCACACAGTCTGAGTCACAAAAACACCACACAGTCTGAGTGTGACAAAACCACACCATCTGAGTGTGACAAAACCACACAGTCTGAGTGTGACAAAACCACACCATCTGAGTGACAAAACCACACCGTCTGAGTGTGACAAAACCACACCATCTGAGTGTGACAAAGCCACAATCACAAAATCTGTTATCCCTGCAGGTATTCCTAAAATTCTGGAGCAGCTCAAAGCTTTAAATTTGTTGATTCTATTGTTGCCAAATGAGCACAGGAACACACTCAAGGTCAGTCAGTCGTGTTGTGAAGATACAGTTAATATTGACCTCATTATTATTTATTAGTTATGTCACATAGGGTGTCTGTTTCAGGTTAGCAGGATGATGATGGTGTCTGTTCCTTCAATGTTTCCTTTTAACTAAACACTGACCTTCTGTTTCCACTTAACTAAACATTGACCTTCTGTTTCCACTTAACTAAACATTGACCTTCTGTTTCCACTTAACTAAACATTGACCTTCTGTTTCCACTTAACTAAACATTGACCTTCTGTTTCCACTTAACTAAGCATTGACCTTCTGTTTCCACTTAACTAAACATTGACCTTCTGTTTCCACATAACTAAACATTGACCTTCTGTTTCCACTTAACTAAACATTGACCTTCTATTTCCACTCAACTAAATATTGACCTTCTGTTTCCACTTAACTAAACATTGACCTTCTGTTTCCATTTAATATTACAATATGTTTACACTTTATTGAAAATTCTATTTTATGATTCCGTTTAGCTAAACATTTCACTTTGAGTAAACATTTTACTTTGTTTCTACAAAACTAAACATTTCACTCTGAGTAAACATTTTACTTTGTTTCTACAAAACTAAACATTTCACTCTGAGTAAACATTTTGCTTTGTTTCTACAAAACTAAACATTTTACTTTGTTTCTACAAAACTAAACATTTCACTCTGAGTAAACATTTTACTTTGTTTCTACAAAACTAAACATTTTACTTTGTTTCTACAAAACTAAACATTTTTACTTTGTTTCTACAAAACTAAACATTTTACTTTGTTTCTACAAAACTAAATATTTTACTCAAGAAATCGATTCACTAAACTCAGACTGTGATGAACAAGAACAGAGAGGCAGACCAGAGAAGCGGATGCAGTGTGATTCTCCCATTTAGAGCTGTGACTATAATGGGTTATTGTTCTTGTGTGTTCATTTCCCAGTTGCCAGTGATTGGGTTTCCTAGTTGTTTGGTTTAATGGTTTCATTTCTTGACATCAGTTACCTCTGTTTACAATTTAAACATTTTACTTTGTTTACACTTAACATTTTACTATTTTAACTGAACTAAACTGTCCCTTGATTCTGTTGAACTAAACATTCCCTTGATTCCATTTAACTAAACATTCTACTTTGTGTTTATCCTCCAGGTACTACTTCAGTTTTTACGAAATGTTGTATCTCAGAGCAACTACAATAAAATGGGACTTAAAAATGTGGCCATGATAATGGCTCCAAATTTGTTCCTAGCGCCCTCTAGTGGCAATAAGGACAAGGAAAAGATTAACCTTGAACTTGAACTCAAGAAAGCTGCGGAGACATCTACCATTGTGAAAATGCTGGTCCATTACCAGGATGTTTTGTGGACGGTAAGTGACCACGGCCAGTTGTCTGTTCTGGTCATCGTTGTCTTCTCTGGTAAAGGTCAATAAATTTTTTTTCTAAACTATTAGTATAAACATTTCTGATTCTGTTTAAATTGACAGCTTTGGTTGTAAGACTGTGCAGTTTTCAGTATTTGTCTACTTGCATTGTCATCTTCATTGACAGAGCACGAGTTGCCAGAATGGTCTCCAGTGTGTTCTAGACCTGACAGTTTACTGTAGATTCAAAACTTGATTACTTTTATGTCTTTAATTACTTTTATGTTTTTACTAAATCACAGAGAGTAACATGGAGAAACATTTGTGTCAGGATTGCTAAATTTGTGAAGATCACATATTCTCCATTGAGATAAAATCATTATACCTAGGGACATATTTTTGCTTCCAGTTCTTTTCTCTTCTCAGATTTTTGCATCACTGGTTTGTCAAACATTTCTTTTTATAGATTCCTCCATCATTCATAGCTCAGATACGATACCAGTATGCCCTGGAGTATCATAGGAAAAACAGAGTAAGTTTTGTCATGTTCTGTAAGTTTTATCATGTTCTGTGAGTTTTATCATGTTCTGTGAGTTTTATCATGTTCTGTGAGTTTTATCATGTTCTGTGAGTTTTATCATGTTCTGTGAGTGTTATCATGTTCTGTGAGTTTTATCATGTTCTGTGGGTTTTTTTCATGTTCTGTGGGTTTTGTCATGCTCTCTGAGTTATGCCATGTTCTGTGAGTTATGCCATGTTCTGTGAGTTTTGTCATGTTCTGTAAGTTATGCCATGTTCTGTGAGTTTTGTCATGTTCTGTAAGTTGTGCCATGTTCTGTGAGTTTTTTTTTAATATTATATATATAGCTTATTAGGTTCTGTTCTTGTTAGATTGTTGCTTGAAGTGTCAGGAAGCGAGAAGTTCCAATGTGCAACTATGATTTGTACAGTTTTAGTCTACAAGTTAGAACACAAAGTATTTAAGTGAATTTCAGCTTCAGACGTGTACAATCATAACACAGATTTTGTTTGTAAGATGTTTATAAAGGAAAAAAGATCAGCCATATCTGCTTGTAAAGACAATAGTTTTTGTGTTGACCCTTGAAAGAAAGACTGGCACGTTGTGTTGTAGTTTACAGCTAGATTGTGATATCTTATCTTTTTGCCCAACATCTGATATCTGTCAGATACCCAGTCGATGGCATTTTACAGTGTGCCTGCTTTTTACAGTGTGCCTGCATTTTACAGTGTGCCTGCATTTTACAGTGTGCCTGCATTTTACAGTGTGCCTGCATTTTACAGTGTGCCTGCATTTTACAGTGTGGGTCTGTCTCCCCTCACCCCCACTCCTTCCACTCCGTCTTCTTCCCCAGCACCCCCAGTAGTGCTCCAGAACCCAGATGGGAGATTAAAGACGAGGAAAATGTGGTCAGAAGAGTTGACAACATAAGATTAAGGAAACTTCTTATTTTGTTTTAAAAAAAATGTTTTCTTTAAATATCAAAAGCAACCACAGCACTAACAACTGTACCAGGTCCTCTCAGATGGCAGTCTTTTTAGTAGTCTCTTTTAAAGACAACAACGAAAATACTTTTGCATTTCAAGTGTGTCCCAAGAGGCAAATAAACTGGGGTTTGTCATGGGACTGGCTAGCTGATCCTATGAACAACTTTAATGGCAGTACCCAACCATTCAGCAGACCATGTTTGTTATGTACACACTTGTTGCATGTTTGTTGTGTACACACTTGTTGCAAGTTTGTTGTTGTCACAGTTGTTGCATGTTTGTTGTGTACACACTTGTTGCATGTTTGTTGTGTACACACTTGTTGCATGTTTGTTGTGTACACACTTGTTGCATGTTTGTTGTGAACACACTTGTTGCATGTTTGTTGTGTACACACTTGTTGCATGTTCATTATGTACACACTTGTTGCATGTTTGTTATGTACACACTTGTTGCATGTTCATTATGTACACACTTGTTACATGTTTGTTGTGTACACACTTGTTGCATGTTTGTTGTGTACACACTTGTTGCATGTTTGTTGTGTACACACTTGTTGCATGTTTGTTGTGTACACACTTGTTGCATGTTTGTTGTGTACATACTTGTTGCATGTTTGTTGTATACACACTTGTTGCATGTTTGTGGCTGTTAGGTTTACACTTATGTATTTCTTGATTGAAGAACCAAAATCATTCTTTTTCCAGACATCGAAATTGCCCTGGCGGAAAGATAAAGACCGATCTGACATCTTCAAGCGGTATCCAGTGACTTCTGATCCAGCAAAGGTTGTTTCCTTCTCGTTTCTTCATTGTTTATTCTCATGTTTATATATAGATCTGTACTAGATCAGTGGATAATATGTTGACATACTTACGTACAGATCAAGCATACCTACATAACACAGATCAGACAAACAGATCTACATAACATACAGGTATCTCACAGTGGACACTACAGAAAGAGGTATTACAGTACTAAATATTGCATCAAACAGCAAGATAAGCATTCACAGAATGTAAAAGAATCCAAAGCCAATGAGTCAAGTGTTAGCAGCCTAGATCAAGTGTTAACAGCCTAGATCAAGTGTTAACAGCCTAGATCAAGTGTTAACAGCCTAGATCAAGTGTTAACAGCCTAGATCAAGTGTTAACAGCCTAGATCAAGTGTTAACAGCCTAGATCAAGTGTTAACAGCCTAGATCATGTGTTAACAGCCTAGATCAAGTGTTAACAGCCTAGATCATGTGTTAACAGCCTAGATCAAGTGTTAACAGCCTAGATCATGTGTTAACAGCCTAGATCAAGTGTTAACAGCCTAGATCAAGTGTTAGCAGCCTAGATCAAGTGTTAACCTGCGTAATCTTCTTACACTTTTGTCATTAAGTTTTTTTGTTAATGAAAATCTCCTTAAAGGTTAGTTGTGTATCCTTTACAGGACGTTGCAGAACCAACCCCAGCAGAGCCTGGCTGTTGTGTGGTTTCTCTAGGCAAATTTATGTCCAGTAGTTTGCCATTGCTTCTGGACGGTCGGCCCCTTGATACCACTGTCAAAACCAACACAAGGCAAATCTCCTTATACTTTTGTCTATAAATTTTTTTATAATGTAAGTCTCCTTACACATTTTTTTTTTCAAGTTGTTTTATATTATTCTTCCTAATAACCTCAAACTGATTTCCCTGTACATAGAATGGAATGGTTACTAGCATTCAGTTTTCCTGCATCCAATTTTCATCATATGTTGCCCATATCTCCATTTATGTCTCTAGATAATTGTTTATGCCGGTTTATTTGATCAAATGCTGATATCCAATATGTTTAGATATCAGGTTTCAAATAGTAATCTGACCAGCATTTGTCATTGACACATTTTCTACATCTGCAGTACGACCATCAGGATGGAGTGATCCGAGTACAAGCTCCACATCTGACGAAGAGTTCGACACTCATTCAACTAGACAGGAACACAACTGCTGCAGACGTCGTAGCCAAGTTTAAACTGGGAGATGACTCCTTGAGAACAGACAAAGACGGTCACAGGTGTGTGTGTGTGTGTGTGCATGTATGCATTTGTGTGCATGTGCATGCTGGTATATGCGTGTCTGTAGATTGGGCAAAATTCTCATTTCTGTAAAAATTGTACTAGAATTTCATGGACTAATTCTATTAGAAGGATTGGTGTGGTGGGTAAAAGCATCAACAGCAGAGAACAACGAGAGAGATTAGCTTATCAAATATATACCTGCGATGCACTGGCTTCATGTTTGATGATCTTTGATTGCATTGCCTTGTTTACTGTTTGTTGTCTTGTATGTTTTGGCCTCATTTTTTAATACTGCTAATTCTCACGACGGCTCCTCGTGTTATATTTTATACTTTGTCTTCTTTCTGATGTTCAGAACGTATGTCTGCTAAATTGTAATGTTGTTTGCCAATTTCTTGAATTGGTTTTCTGGTTATTTTGCGTCTTATTTGCCAGGAACAAATGTGACTTTTTTCATTCTAGATTTTCCCCATAGTTTTTTAACATAAATATTGTATTTGCCAGCATGTTAGTGTGTATACATAATCAGGAACAAATATGATGCTTCAAGTACTGAGCTTGATGTGGATTTTTAAATACAGCCATGTTTTGTTTCTACCTCACAGAACTATCGGAAAAGTTGAGGAAACAAATGGACACACGTACAGAAATCCCAACAACGCACAGTATGCACATGACTCGGACTACTTGTATGAAGTTGGAGGAAATATTTGTAAGTGATAGGGTCGAGTTACTTAGCTTCCTGTTTAGGCATTGATCAGTCTACTAGTGTACTTCATTCTATGTTATACTCCACCACACCTACTTCACCACACATGCTCCAACACACATGTTCCACCATACCTACTCCACCACACATGCTCCAACACACATGTTCCACCACACCTACTCCACCACATATGTTCCACCACACCTACTCCAACACACATGTTCCACCACACATGCTCCACCACACCTACTCCAACACACATGCTCCACCACACCTACTCCAACACATGCTCCACCACACCTACTCCAACACACATGCTCCACCACACCTACTCCACCACACATGCTCCACCACACCTACTCCACCACACATGCTCCATCACACCTACTCCACCACACATGCTCCACCACACCTACTCCAACACACATGCTCCACCACACCTACTCCAACACACATACTCCACCACACCTACTCCAACACACATGCTCCACCACACCTACTCCACCACACCTACTCCAACACACATGCTTCACCACACCTAGTGTACCACACATGCTCTACCACACCTACTCCACCACATATGCTCCACCACACCTAGTGTACCCCACATGCTCCACCACACCTACTCCAACACACATGCTCCACCACACATGCTCCACCACACCTACTCCAACACACATGCTCCACCACACATGCTCCACCACACCTACTCCAACACACATGCTCCACCACACCTACTCCAACACATGCTCCACCACACCTACTCCAACACACATGCTCCACTACACATGCTCCACCACACCTACTCCAACACACATGCTCCACCACACCTACTCCAACACACCTGCTCCACCACACATGCTCCACCACACCTACTCCACCACACATGCTCCATCACACCTACTCCACCACACATGCTCCACCACACCTACTCCAACACACATGCTCCACCACACCTACTCCAACACACATGCTCCACCACACCTACTCCAACACACCTGCTCCACCACACATGCTCCACCACACCTACTCCAACACACATGCTCCACCACACCTACTCCAACACACATGCTCCACCACACCTACTCCAACACACATACTCCAACACACCTACTCCAACACACCTACTCCACCACATATGCTCCACCACACCTACTCCAACACACATGCTCCACCACACCTACTCAAACACACATGCTCCACCACACCTACTCCAACACACATGCTCCACCACACCTACTCCAACACACATGCTCCACCACACCTACTCCAACACACATGCTCCACCACACCTACTCCAACACACATGCTCCACCACACATGCTCCACCACACCTACTCCAACACACATGCTCCACCACACCTACTCCAACACATGTTCCACCACACCTACTCCAACACATATGTTCCACCACACCTACTCCAACACACATGTTCCACCACACCTACTCCACCACATATGCTCCACCACACCTACTCCAATACACATGTTCCACCACACCTACTCCAACACATATGCTCCACCACACCTACTCCAACACACATGTTCCACCACACCTACTCCACCACATATGCTCCACCACACCTACTCCAACACACATGCTCCACCACACCTACTCCAACACACATGCTCCACCACACCTACTCCAACACACATGCTCACCACACCTACTCCAACACATATGCTCCAACACACCTACTTCAACTCACATGCTCCACCACACCTACTCCAACACACATGCTCCACCACACCTACTCCAACACACATGCTCCACCACACCTACTCCAACACACATGCTCCACCACACATGCTCCACCACACCTACTCCAACACACATGCTCCACCACACCTACTCCAACACACATGCTCCACCACACCTACTCCAACACACATGCTCCACCACACCTACTCCAACACACATGCTCCACCACACCTACTCCAACACATGCTCCACCACACCTACTCCAACACACATGCTCCACCACACCTACTCCACCACACATGCTCCACCACACCTACTCCACCACACATGCTCCATCACACCTACTCCACCACACATGCTCCACCACACCTACTCCAACACACATGCTCCACCACACCTACTCCAACACACATACTCTACCACACCTACTCCAACACACATGCTCCACCACACCTCCACCACATATGCTCCACCACACCTAGTGTACCACACATGCTCCACCACACCTACTCCAACACACATGCTTCACCACGCCTACTCCACCACACATGTTTCACCACGCCTACTCCACCACACATGCTCCACCATGCCTACTCCACCACACCTACTCCAACACACATGTTCCACCACACCTACTCCACCACACATGCTCCACCACACATGTTCCACCGCACATGCCCTACCACACCTACTCTATTATGCACGCCCTGCTATTTTTACTTCACCACTCTTACTCTACCACCACTGCTACTCCAGTTAGGTCAACAATTAACAGCACACCACTCGGGGCATTCCCATGTGCTCCATCTCCATCCTCAGCAGCCAGCGCAGAGTTCCAATACTAATGGTACCAGTCGTAGTCTGGTTGTATGTCCGTCTTGCCTTTCCTCTGAGCATAGTATGCCTGCCAAACCCTCTGGTCACACACAGGTGCATCATTCTCTCCAGCCCATAATAATCTAGTTTCTCTTCTGACTTTGTTACTTGTTTCCAAAGGGCTCTGCCAAATACTCTACTGCACCCATCCTCCCACAATCATCTATAATGCAAGCAGCTGGTCTTTAGCTGCAACCATAGATACAAATTCGGCTCCACACACCCGGCTCCTAAAAGTGTTCCACTTTGGCCACATCCTGCCATTAGCCATAATTTGTGATAGACCACATGACATGTCCCACTGAGTGCCCTTTGGACCACAATATGTGGAAGACCACATGACATATCCCATTGAGTGCCTGTTCTTCTTCTTCTTCACTTCCTCTTTTACCGCTGTGGGTGTCGAGGGAGATATAAGGTTCTGTTTCTAGCTCTTCTGGCTGCCTCGACCATAGGCACATCGTGCTGTTGTAGAGTTTCTCTGATGTTATCCTTCCATCTTGTTCTTGGTCTACCCCGTGCTCTACGTCCTTCTTCTCTTCCCATGTATGCTTTGTATGGTATGGTGTCACAAGGCATTCTCTCTAAGTGGGCAAACCATTTCACTTGCTGTCTTGGTATGTAATCCAGAATTGGTTCTGTGCCGACTTGTTCTCTTATGATCTCATTTCTGATCTTATCTCTTATGGTCACTCCTACAGCCCTTTTCAGACATCTCATTTCCGTGGTTACTAATTTTCTTTTATGGTTTGTTGTGAGTGACCATGTCTGGCACTGGTAGCACAGAGTTGGAATAAATATGCTTTGAATAAGATGTCTCTTTGTGCTGATTGGGATTGTCTTATGCTGTAAGAGGGGGGCTAGCTGTCCCAATACTTGGTTTGCTTTACTGCACCTAATGTCAATTTCTTTATCCAATTTCCCATCTTCGGTAAATGTAGTTCCCAGATATTTAAACTCAGATGCCTGTTTAATGCCTTTGTATTCTATTGTTATGTTTAGATCTGTCTTCTTTTTTCCTATTGACATTACTTCTGTCTTTTCAGTGTTGATTCTCATATTATTTGTTTTACATTCTTCATTCATGGATGTTAGATGTTGTTGCAATTTCATGGCTGTATCTGCTATCAAGGCCTGGTCATCTGCAAAGAGTAATTCGTTGATCTTACTAAGATCTTCATTCATGGGCTTGGCATTCTTGCATATACTGTCGATGTAGGTGATAAACAGCAGTGGTGATAAGACACACCCCTGTCTTACTCCAGATGTCACTGTGAAAGGATGAGATGTTCCCTGATTTATTCTAACTACACTTCTACAATCCCTGTATAAACTTTTGCACACTTCGATGAGGTGTTCGCTTACTCCATACCTTGCCATTATGAGTGCCTGTTGGTCTATTCAAATGGCATTAGCACTGTACACACAAACTGCCCTGAGGCACATGTCCTTTTATCCACATATTCAAGTGACATGCATTAATTGGTTTCATAGTTTTAATTATAATTGACACGACAGTCATTTCTTGTAGGCATGAAATTAATATCTGTCAGGTTTCTTGTTTTGTCTTGTCACTGTTGACAGCTTTTTCATTTTGTGTTTCTCTGCCAGGTTGTAATCTTCTCATTAATCTTGCAGCTTGTTCAACTTCTTTACCTTCTTCTTGTCACTGTTCTTTTGTTACAGCTCTCCTAAACCTTGTTCTGATGTCAGCTTGTTTCATTTGATGTACTTGATTCTGATATTTTATGTTCCTGCTTTTAGTTAGTGTCTGTAATTATGATATTTGATATTGTGTCTGCAGCAGAACGATGTCTAGACCCTCGCACCAAAGTTCTGGACTTGTACCACGTAAACCCACTGGCTGATTGGGTGATCAAGAAACGAGAAGGGAGGCCGCAAATCTACTTTCACATTGCTCACTGAATCTATGAGCCTCTAGTCTAAAACTGAATGGTTGTTACCTTCATCAATTTGTGCAGGTCACAGTTGAAACTTTATGCCAAATTCTCCAGGTATATTCTTATCTGGCAACTTACTGTTCCTGGTGTGATATTCTTTTATCACTTGAAACATTATTCTATATCCAGAAGATGTTTCTATCCACACCATGATGTCTGCTAGAGCATCATCCACCCACCTGATGACTGCTTGAGATGCATCCACGTGGATGTTTTTTAGTGATGTAATAACTAACAATGTTAACCAAAGATGAAATCACCCACATTGTGATGTCAGCCAGAAATATTTTCACACACATTTGGTCATTTTCTTCTGTTGTTTTTCTGTTCACAAACATCTTGACACATTTGTCAGAGATGAGCACACCATCTGTGTGACATCTTTTGTTGAGATGTCTGCAACTACATCGTCAAGTCTGGCAAATATGCTTCTTGAAGATGTTACATACATCTAATCTCTTTACCAGATGTTTTTAGATGTGATAAACATCCTGCTGTCTGCCCGAGATGCTTCTAGACGCAATAAACATCTTAATGTTTGCCAGATGTCATGTACATCTTGTCTCTTTGCCAGAAATATTTCTAGAAATTATCATGAACATCTTGCTGTTTGCCAGAAATGTTTGTTGATGTCATTTACATATTGATGGTTGCAAGATGTATATATCTTGCTGTTTGCCAGAGATACCTACAAGATGTCATGATTACTTGCTGTTTGCCAGAGATGTCTGCAAGATGTCATGACATTTTACTGTTAGCCAGAGATGTCTACAAGATATAACTTCTTGCTGTCATAGATGTCTACAAGATATCATAACTTCTTGCTGTTTGTCAGAGATGTGTCTGCAAGATGTCATAACATCTTGCTGTTTGCCAGAAATGTGTCTAAAGAATACCCTGTACATGCTGCTGTGTCACCAGAATTTGTTAGTGATGTCATAAAGATGACATTTTAGCTGTTGGCGATTTCATAAAGATGACATTTTAGCTGTTGGTGATGTCATAAAGATTATATATTAGCTGTTGGTGATATCATATAGATGACAATTTAGCTGTTGATGTCATTAAGATTATATTTTAGCTGTTGGTGGTGTCATAAAGATGACATTTTAGCTATTAGTGATGTCATGAAGATGACATTTTAGCTGTTGGTGTCATTAAGATTATATTTTAGCTGTTGGTGGTGTCATAAAGATGACATTTTAGCTGTTAGTGATGTCATAAAGATGACATTTTAGCTGTTGGTGATGTCATAAAGATGACATTTAAGCTGTTAGTGATGTCATAAAGATGACATTTTAGCTGTTGGTGATGTTATAAAGATGTTATTTTAGCGTTGGAGTTCTTTTATCCTACATGACATATTTAATGCTTTTTAAAAATCCTACATGACATACTTGATGGATACATTTGTTTTGTATGTGCAAAGTTTGATTGAAATGTGTTTTCCTTTACCACATATATGATGAAGATATATTCGGCTAGATGACATGTTTGTTACAGTTGTTTTTCCTGGAAGACATGATTCATGCGATTGCATGACATGTTTGGTGTAGATGTTTTCCCTGTAGATGGCACATTTGTTGGCGATGGTTTCCCTAGGACATTTCTTATGGGGAAACTGTGAATTTGTTGAAGCTGTTGGGACAATCATGCTATGCTGATATTCTCTCATTACAAAATAAGCAGGCCTACAACAGTAGCTGGGCATTAAATATCTCATCAACATTATACCAGGTCATTAATACTACAACCTAATGTCTTCAGTTAATCTAATTAACCCCCCAGCTCTTCCAGTCCATTAGATGTTTATTTCCGTTGCATTTACCCAGCATACCTGTTCAATATCCACCAAACTTTACATCTAAGTTGGAAATAAAGTCGTTTTTGGAAAGTCAATTTTACTAACGTTGCTTTGTTGCTGTTTATTAGAATTTGACTATGTTATAACGTTGCAATGTTTTACGGCATCAGGATAACACATTCTTCAAAAAGCTGGTTAGCTTTCAAATTGAGCTCCTCGGTCGGGCCAACCAGAGTTGATATGACGAGAGAGTTTCTGACAGAAAAAGAAAAAGCTGATAAATGTCGAATGAAAAATCTTTTTCTGTGGTCATCCATTGTGCCCATTTACAGCAGGGCTGCGATATTTGTGCCTTTCGGTCGACTTATGAAAGTTGTGTAGGTTAGCCTTCCTGATTAGTTTCATGGGATGTGACATCTCATAGTTGTGAGGTCAGCTTTGTTTCCTAGTTCACAGGTGGTGCCCTGGCCCTCCCCACAGCAGCTACATAATGCTGGTCAGCCCTGAAGAAGAGGCAGGGGCAGAACATTCCCTGCTGTCAAAGGAGGCTCCCATAAATGCTGAGCCAATACATGGTGCTCACCCAAGAAATAGTCACATCATGAATATGTTGCCACTTCTGTAGATTTAGCCTCTCATTCATCACGGACTACACCTTTGATTAAGTGATGTTCAATCTCATTGAGCGAAAAACACCCACTGCCACCATTTGGATAATAATCTGCCAGGCACACAAGTCCTAGAAACCTTGTTCAGCATTAGATTATATTAGGGCCCTTCACCGAGAGTCAGGGCTGGAAGCCAGCAAAACCACCCATACCAAGGATGTTCAACATACAAATAATCCTTATTTTCCAAACGTTGGCCCTTGAGTTGAACATTCTGGATCTGTACTATAAAACAGAAAATCCATGTCCTTGTCTGTAATGGTGATTAGCAAAAGAATGAAATTTGCAAAAGTCAATTCTAGCTAAAAGTCCAGATTAACAGTGCTATAGGCAGCAAATGATTACGCATTTCTGATAAGTTAACATTTGCTGGAGTTATTTATATCCCTTAAATATCTATGTCCCATGAAGAAATTAGTGTCAACAAGTATTTCCCTGTATTTCACACTTATCTGGTCGATATTCTAGCAGTGAGGCCAGAGCCGCAATAGCCGTTTGTTCATTCCAGCACTGTTATCCGGATTAACACTTTAAGGATGAGAATCTGGACAATTTTACGACATTATGGAATTCCTGAAAAGTTGGTTGGTCAACATCACTGCTCTATTCTATGAAGACTTTTCCTGCATTTAAAAATCTTTCCCAGTAAAGACAGATGTAAGACAGGTATGTGTTATGTCATTTCTCCTCTTCAACATGATTGTTAGGATACTAAAAAACTCAGACAAGACATCGAGAGGCATACAATGGACTCCATTTACCATGCTTGAGGACCTTGATTTTGCAGATGATATAGCACTCCTATCACATAAACATGTACAAGAAAAAAGTAACAGACCACACAGCACAGCAGAAATGGTGGGACTGAGAATACAAAGAAAACTAAGATCATGACAAACAGTCCAAACCAATAACCATCATCATCATCATGTAGCAGGTCCTTTGCAGAACGTCGCTCTCATCACAGTCTGCCTGAAAGAAACCCAGTCTCTCGCCAGTTCTCCCGCCTTCCCCCACACATGTCTACGTAGAATTATCAAAATTTTCTGGCCAGACACAATCTCAAACTACTTCCAAGTCACAAACCAAGAAACTCTAGACAGTATGATAACTAAGAGAAAATGGAAATGGCTTGGCCACGTTATGAGAAAAAATCCTGATATACCTGCCAAAACAACTCTCACATGGATACCAGAGGGAAAGGGCCCCCAAAAACAACTTGGAGACGAACGCTGAAAAGTGACCATGGGAAAACTGACTGAAGATTGCACAAGACAGGAAAGTCCTCCCTGAAGCCTCATGGAAAGTCCTCTCTGAAGCCTCATGGAAAGTCCTCCCTGAAGCCTCATGTGCCACTAGGAATAACCAGAACTGTTGAGAATCCTACATGTACAAATTGCAGTAAGCTCCATTCATCTGTAAAGTTCCCTTGTGATACACCGGCAGTTTCAACATAATCATTATATGGGACCACTAGAGTACCAAGATTAACATGATAGTTCCATGGGACCATCAGAGAGTACCAAGATTTACAGATTATAGCTGTATGAGTACAACCCGAGTCCAAGATTCACAGATTATAGTTGTATGAGACCACCCGAGTCCCAAGATTCACACATTATAGTTGTATGGGACCACCAGAGTCCCAAGATTCACATATTATAGTTGTATGAGACCACCAGAGTCCCAAGATTCACAGATTATAGTTGTATGAGACCATCAGAGTCCCATGATTCACAGATTATAGCTGTATGCGACCACCTTAGTCCCAAGATTCACAGATTATAGCTGTATGAGACCACCAGAGTCCCAAGATTCAGAGATTAAAGCTGTATGAGACCACCAGAGTCCCAAGATTCAGAGATTAAAGCTGTATGAGACCACCAGAGTCCCAAGATTCACAGATTATAGCTGTATGAGACCATCAGAGTCCCAAGATTCACAGATTATAGCTGTATGAGACCACCAGAGTCCCAAGATTCACAGATTATAGCTGTATGAGACCACCAGAGTCCCAAGATTCACAGATTATAGCTGTATGAGACCATCAGAGTCCCATGATTCACAGATTATAGCTGTATGAGACCATCAGAGTCCCATGATTCACAGATTATAGCTGTATGAGACCACCAGAGTCCCATGATTCACAGATTATAGCTGTATGAGACTACCAGAGTCCCAAGATTCACAGTCTAGTCCTATTATTAATCTGGTACTAAGGATTGTCAGTTTAATGATTTGTCCTTAGAATATGACTACTCCAGTTTTTTTTTTTTTTTAACCTGTGGCAAGACTAGTCTGTCCTCTTCTACCCTGGGGAAAACATGTCTGTCCTCTTCTACCCTGGGGAAAACATGTCTGTCCTCTTCTACCCTGGGGAAAACATGTCTGTCCTCTTCTACCCTGGGGAAAACTGGTCTGTCCTCTTCTTCCCTGGGGAAAACATGTCTGTCCTCTTCTTCCCTGGGGAAAACATGTCTGTCCTCTTCTACCCTGGGGAAAACATGTCTGTCCTCTTCTACCCTGGGGAAAACTGGTCTGTCCTCTTCTACCCTGGGGAAAACATGTCTGTCCTCTTCTACCCTGGGGAAAACTGGTCTGTCCTCTTCTTCCCTGGGGAAAACATGTCTGTCCTCTTCTTCCCTGGGGAAAACATGTCTGTCCTCTTCTACCCTGGGGAAAACATGTCTGTCCTCTTCTACCCTGGGGAAAACATGTCTGTCCTCTTCTTCCCTGGGGAAAACATGTCTGTCCTCTTCTACCCTGGGGAAAACATGTCTGTCCTCTTCTTCCCTGGGCTGTTTAGTGCTTGTTTTCTATTCTGGGCTAATCTAGCCTCTCCTCTCCCACACAAGGCAAAACTAGTCTTTGCACTTTCAACTGTGGCTGCTCAGTACTTCCTTTTCTAGCCTGGCAATCAGAGAACCTTAATTAATCTTTCTCTACTGGGATGCTTAAGTGCCTCATTATTTTTTGAGTCTTTACTCTTCTAGCCTAGGATTCCCCCCCCCCCCCCAATGGTCTGCCTGAAAGAAAGTCTCTTGGCAGCTCTCCTGCCTCAGTGTACTTTCATATTCAATGACATCCTGTGCCCATCATCTTTGTGTTGGTTGGCCCTCATCCCTCCCTCCTGGTACCATGCCTGCTCATGTTTTTTTTTATAATCCACTAAAGCGCTTGATATAACCAAAATATTTTATCTTTATAGATACTATATTGTTTATTAGCCAAGCTGCCTTGATGTTCAGATCTTTTAACATTATCTATATAATATATAAAAATCAATGTTTGTGTTTATAACCTATAGACTCGGAAACTACTGAATTGATTTAGCTGAAATTTTTAGGATATGTTTCTTTTGATACTGGAATTTTGTGAAATTCTACCTGTCATTGTTAGAGATACTACCTGTCTTTGACGGTAAAACGGATAGCAGTGACATTATTTTAGTTATTGTGGTGGTGGTGGTGGTAGTAGTTGTACTGGTACTTGAAGGATAGTGTGGTAAATATTACACTAGCCGCATTTACTACTCATTACAATTCCTGCTCCCTATATTAGTCTGGATGGACAGGGGTATCAACGTCAGTTACAAAAAATATAGCCAAGTGATGACTTTTAAATCCTTCGATGAGGCAGAGAGCAGTATTCGGTGGATGGGGGAGGGGGTGATGACAGAAATTGTTAACTTAAAGAGCTTAACGCATGATTTTAAAGTTTTCATTTTTTAATTTGTTTATATTTTACTAACGCTACCTCCGCTATTCTCATTTGTTTTAATGACTTACTTGGTTATTTACAAGTACAGTGGTAAGCTTTACTTCCGTCTCTCTCTAAAAAAAAATACAGCTTTAGCATGTGATAACCACATAACCATTTTTTAAACTGTGCTAATAATACCATTTAAACGACCACTAATATAAAGACACAATTATAAGTTGCGTGTTCTAAAGTTGGAAAACCAGACTATCTCTATATCTGTGCAGAGAATGATTGCGACATTAACTATATTAGACACGTGCAATTTCTATTTGCTTTCTCAAGGACTGGGAGAAAGTCCATGTGTCACATCCGTATGTTACTACATCTTCTAGGGGGGGGGGGGGGGGCATTGATGACTATGTATGACAGTAAAACACATCATTGCCCAGGCTGAGATACAAACCACATACCCCCATGCAAGCAAGCGATTCTCTCTACCAGCCCTAACCAGTCAACAACATCAGAAATCAGCAAAACTGCAAGCACTAAACAAGACATTATTTTAATGCAACAAAGAGGCACATTTCAGCAAGTGTCTCTACTTGCACTGACAAGGCGTGGGAACTCTGTCCCCACTCACATCCGTATGCAACCACAAGTGATGATCAACCAGACACTGACGCAGGCGTCCCATCAACTTACTCACAACAAAGAGGACATGCAACCACAAGTGATGATCAACTTTACACTGACGCAGGCGTCCCATCAACTCTGTCCCCACTCACAACAAAGAGGACATGCAACCACAAGTGATGATCAACTTGACACTGACGCAGGCGTCCCATCAACTCTGTCCCCACTCACAACAAAGAGGACATGCAACCACAAGTGATGATCAACTTGACACAAGACACGCAGGCGTCCCATCAACTCTGTCCCCACTCACAACAAAGAGGACATGCAACCACAAGTGATGATCAACTTGACACTGACGCAGGCGTCCCATCAACTCTGTCCCCACTCACAGAGGTAGCTACACAAGTGATGATCAACTTGACACTGACGCAGGCGTCCCATCAACTCTGTCCCCACTCACAGAGGTAGCTACACAAGTGATGATCAACTTGACACTGACGCAGGCGTCCCATCAACTCTGTCCCCACTCACAGAGGTAGCTGCACATGCTGGCATCAACTCCAGAGGGTTGATAAAAACAACAGAACCAAGCTGACCAACAAGTCACACAAGTCTTTCACATGAAAACAACAAAAGTCAGTCAGAATCACAAATCTTAGAGATTGATCAAAGCATTTAAAAAAAAAATAAGTGAAACATTTTAAAACAAAACACAATGGTAGGTCAACAACCTGTCTGAGACACTGCTAGTGTGTGCTACTGTATGTAATTAGGCAGATAATGTCCACTGTCCGCCCAACACTATCTAGGGAGGTCCCTCTCAAAAATCACAGAGTGAAACGGGGCCAACACCTCATTTTCAAACTGGCAACTGCAGAACTTGCCGTTTGTGGCAACAGCCAGCTAGAGCTCAAGTAAAACACCTGCCACTGAACGGGCTCATCAAATCAAATAGTGCCTGGCTGTTGCTCGGAGAAACAGCAAAAATCATGTATGTAACACACATACCAGCCACAAAGCAACTGTGCTGTCCTATCAGACAACATAAAGATGACCATCACACATGACTGCAACACACACCCACGACGAGACACCCTAGTCACAATTCTATCCAATTATTGTTAACAAAAAAAAAATCACAAACTGTCCAATGTCAGCATACAGCCTTGACATTTTTCTACGAGAAATAAAACAAAATCAAAATAAACTGTCACCAAAGGTCAAGAAGAACTTGACCGTCTACGACTGCGATCCATTTCATACGTAATACAACTGGCTAATTAAACAAGAACATTGTAAATTTGTCAACAAAGCGTAACGAGCTGAAGGGATGAAAAGCAAGCATCTCCTCTCCTGGCTGTCCAAAGATGTTTTCTGTTTGGATGAATAATGTCTTCCAGACCAGCAGGTGCAGAGACACACACACACACACACACACGTACAAACACGGGCTATCCAAGGACATCACAAGATGGCATCCAGCAGACAAGGGACTGAGACAATGTACAAACATTACAAACACTAGTGACATATTCTATTTAAAGCTGGCTTGTCTACTGTGTGCTAGAACTATCTACATCTCTCACAATGTGACAGCGCACATGTTGACACAATTATCTCCATCATTCCTCATGTGATATGTTGATCATTTGTGGGGTCAAGGTTCATGGGACAACCCCACTGGACAATCTTCATGTGACGCTATTTCAGCTTACAGACATGGTCAACCAATCAAGAGAAATGCTAAATACTTCAACAAACACGTTCAATCATTTAACACCCAGCACACAGAATAGACATGTTCAATCAGTAGAAAAGATGCACACACACACACACACACAAAGTGTGTGCTGTGCACCCAAGTACAAATATATAAATATATCTAGCATGTCACAACGTACACATCTCATATTGCCATACAACACAACAGCACTATTCAGCGAGCCTGATCTGTCTCAATCCTAGAACACAAGACACACCAGTTCAGGTGTGTTCCATCCCAAACACCTGTTTCCTTTGTCAGTCTTCACCTTGTGCAACACAAGCTGTCAAATACTGAGATGACACGGTGGCATGTGAAAACAAGAATGGCCCAACCAGGCCACTACCAACTGAACAATCTAGTGAAGAGATCTAGTCAGTGTCTGTCAAAAGTAAACGCTTAAAGAAAAGATGTTACGTGTACAACATCAGACAACATACAAAACCTGTCCTGGCACACCTCCAAGCACAAGAGTCACACCCAAACAACAGGTCTAGCCTATGGTCCAACTGTTAAGTGCCAGCTGACAACTGGTCTGCAAACTAAAGCTGCTACAAAGAAGACAACTGTTCAAATCTGCTCTGGAAACGGAATCCAACCAAACATGCTAGGATTTGAACCAGCTAGACACCTGAGAAAGATGGCAATCAGCTACCGCAGACGACCTAGCACTAGAGCTCTCTGCCTGGCTCATCTCCATTATTTTTGCTAATATCTGAGACAACAAAAAGAAAACAACAACAGTTTGCTGCCTTGATTAAGTATTGTACAACTGTAGATAAAGACTCCAAGCTCTGCTTAGCAAGCTGCAGCACAAAATGGCTGTCGGAGAGGGGAAGGGGGACATGTAGTGTTTAGAGAAATGCCAACCTATATGAATTAGCCCTGACCATGTTAATCATACGCACAGCAACGAGTGACGACAATAAACGTGATCAGTAGTAGTTGTGGGTGTTCAACCGAGCAGGGTAGATAACTGTGGTTCTCTTGGTGCACATGTCTCCAGACCAAGCAACGAAAACACGATAACTGAATCAACCGACAAGCCATGGATAGCTGTATGATAACAACACAACAGGGGCTACCACCAATGTCCATGTCACTACTACAAGTACGTCTATGGCTAATTGGTCGGTCGCTGGACATCCATCTCTGATCCCCGCTGCCCACACAAGGCTAGAGAGGATGCTCGACCCCTGGTATTTGTGCCGGCCTCTACTAACACACAAGAATAAACAAGGCCAGGTTGTCCCATGCACAAAACACCAGAGATCCGCCTCTCCGTTCTTCTTTTACCTGAAACAATCAAAACACAAGCGTTATTTTTAATCTTTCCTTTGAAAATAAAACCTTCTGTACCACCACCCATGTTATTTCCTTGTCACAAATATTCAACAAAACTATCCTAACTACAATATCAAAGCAGCTACTGGCGAAACTAAGGGGAATGATCACATTCAACCTGTGCTGTGTAACCCTACACCCCCTTCCCCCAAGCTCTTGTCTTTAAATATATGCATAATTGTGTATGCATGCGTGCGAGAGACCACCCCACCCCCTCGGCCTTCTGCCATACCCAAGTTATACAGTATAAAGACATTCAGACAGCAATAGAAATTTCTACATCTCTGACACGCAAACAAGCCACTCACCTGTCACCCGCTTCAACCTGCTCTGAGGATGGGTTGTCCTCTTTGCTGTTGGCCCGATCTCCACCCCTGCGGCGTGGACGATCATTGTTAGCCATCTCAACCTACAGGACAGACAACACATATTACAATATACACTGTACAGCACAACACGGCCGTACAGGCAATCTTAACTTCTAAAACTAGCAGCAGAAAATGATGTGTCAAAATATGGTAGCCACATCAGCCATATTGCAGTGTTTGGTCAAACAAGACCATTTCCTTTATATTACTACTACTTGCATTCGCTTGAAATAAATGATCGATATCGACAATGCTGTCTCTAGTATGAAATCCACTGAGGGCCTGCAGTGTCTGTCTTAACTAGAAGTTTTGTTTAGAAATGTTTTATTCGGGACAGTAGAGGATGTTCTCTGTTGTCTCGAGTGCCAATCCATTTGCCCACATAGCTGATTTGCTAATCTGAAATTTTGTGTACATGTGGCTGAAAAGTCAACTGTGCCCTGCTCTAAGCAGTAGAAAAATGACTTGCTCTGGTCTGCCCATGATATGGCAATCCATCTTGTGACAGTTTTAATGGCTTTTTGATTGATTTGATTACTCTCTTCTTTTGTTGATAAGAGTCGGGTACATCATTATGTTCTTAGGTTACGCATTCCTTAACTAGTTTATCAGCTTGGTATCCACTGCACAGCTAACTTATATCAGTTGCCTGGTTCAGAGAGTAGTGTCCGTTTAACTGGTAATTGTCCAGACAGGAGCGGTTAAAGTATCCCTTCTGTCAGGAATACCACTGAATGTGAAATATACCTGGTATTTATGTTTCTCGGCTGCTATCTTGTAGCTTGAACTTTTGCATCATAGTTGTGACAGTGCTTTCCTGTTGATTGATATTCAGCCTATTTACCTGGTTTTATTAGGATGCTTAATGTACACTCCTGCTCGTCCATTTCTGCCTACATTTTTTGCTGACCCATCAGTGTAAACACGATCCTGAACATTCTGTGGGTATTCATTAAGTAGACTAAGGGTGGATGTTTTACGCTGCAGTTTTGTTCTTCCTTGAAAAATACTACTTTCACTTCTGTCTTGATGTGTATTGGAAACATCTCTCTCTCTCCAGGGGTTCCGTTCTGGGACAGCACTTGAGGGGCTATCAGTTGCAGACAGATCCGTGGTTTGTAGAGTCGTCTGGCCTGGTGGATGAAACTGCTTCTTTTTTAGTCACCCATTGCTAAAGTTTAGAATCTAAATGCATAGGGCGTTGATATAATTTTAAAAATTACATCCCATATTGGGGCAGAGTTGACGCTACAATTGCACCTTTAGAAGCCATCAAAACGCATCATCTATTCTATAAAACAGAATTAATGTGTATGTAACTTTATCAACAACTCCACCCAAACTGTTTAGCAAGAGAGCAATATTTTAGGATGATGTTCTAGCTGCCATGCCGTGCCAGCTATAGGTGTTGATTTGATACCGAGTGTTGTCAATGAGTGCTTGATCTCACATACTGATCAGAACAAGTCCCTCATTGGAGACAAGACCAACGTCTTAAATACCATGTACAATGTCTTCTTCCTCTTCGTGCTCACTAGTGAAAGTTTCTGGGTGATTTCCACCTCTGAAATGAATCCTTGTTCCAGAACCTGAGCGTTGCATGCCCATGTACCCTGACTTTGAAGGATACCCTCAATTAGTCAACTAGGAGGACAGTGGATCTTTCAGGTTGTCCCCCTGCAGTGGGACCCCAGACATACTCATCTCTCCCTCCACACACATAGATGTTAATTTCTCAGACAGACAGGAGACTGACCTTGATCTCTTTACCATCCAGCTGTTTGCCTGTCAACACTGAGACTGCTTCCTGTGCTGTGTCAACAGTCTGAAAGTGGATGAATGCGAACCCGCGAGCACCACGCCACACCAGGCGCAGGGGGTTGACCTGCATGGCACGAAGCTCCGTCTTCAACTCACTGACCCTCAGGCGGCGAGACAGCCCCCCAACCCACACAATAGCATTTGGGTTAGTGCGAAATCTCTGACGTTGAGGTCTGCGGCCTGAGAACACACAAGGACATTACTCAGCAAGAACACATGAGACAACAACCTAGAACACACGAGACAACAACCTAGAACACATTTGACAACCCAGAAGACAACAACCTAGAACACACGAGACAACAACATACAACACATGAGAACAACATACAACACATAAGACAACAACCTAGAACACAGGAGACAACAACCTAGAACACAGGAGACAACAACCTAGAACACAGGAGACAACAACCTAGAACACACGAGACAACAACCTAGAACACATTTGACAACCCAGAAGACAACAACCTAGAACACACGAGACAACAACATACAACACATGAGAACAACATACAACACATGAGACAACAACCTAGAACACAGGAGACAACAACCTAGAACACAGGAGACAACAACCTAGAACACAGGAGACAACAACCTAGAACACAGGAGACAACAACCTAGAACACAGGAGACAACAACCTAAAACACAGGAGACAACAACCTAGAACACACGAGACAACAACCTAGAACACACGAGACAACAACCTAGAACACATGAGACAACAACCTAGAACACATGAGACAACAACCTAGAACACATGAGACAACAACCTAGAACACATGAGACAACAACCTAGAACACATGAGACAACAACCTAGAACACATGAGACAACAACCTAGAACACATGAGACAACAACCTAGAACACATGAGACAACAACCTAGAACACATGAGACAACAACCTAGAACACATGAGACAACAACCTAGAACACATGAGACAACAACCTAGAACACATGAGACAACAACCTAGAACACATGAGACAACCCAGAAGACAAGACAACAACCTAGAACACACGAGACAACAACCTAGAACACATGAGACAACAACCTAGAACACATGAGACAACAACCTAGAACACAGGAGACAACAACCTAGAACACAGGAGACAACAACCTAGAACACACGAGACAACAACCTAGAACACACGAGAAAACAACCTAGAACACACGAGACAACAACCTAGAACACACGAGACAACAACCTAGAACACACGAGACAACAACCTAGAACACATGAAACAACAACCTAGAACACATGAGAAAACAACCTAGAACACATGAGACAACAACCTAGAACACATGAGACAACAACCTAGAACACAGGAGACAACAACCTAGAACACAGGAGACAACAACCTAGAACACATGAGACAACAACCTAGAACACATGAGACAACAACCCAGAACACATTTGACAACCCAGAAGACAAGACAACAACCTAGAACACACGAGACAACAACCTAGAACACATGAGACAACAACCTAGAACACATGAGACAACAACCTAGAACACATGAGACAACACCCCCGTGTGGGTTCCGAGGCCCCATTGTGGGGAAAACAAGAATAGACCCACTGCCTCCCCAAAAGCATGTCCTAAGAGTCGACTAATTGGGAAGCTTCCTTTGAAGTCGGAGTGCATCTGCCGGAGAGGCAAGGAACCAACAGTCTGTATTCAAGAGAATGAGATCTGTAAAACTGATGCACACGCAACACTCAGGTTCTGGAGCAGGACTGCAGTTCAGTAGTGGACGAGCAACCAGAACCTTCCGCCAGAGTTTACAGCTGGTGAACGTGAAGATGAAGAAGAAGAAGAAGAAGAAGAAGACATGAGACAACAACCTAGAACACAGGAGACAACCTATTATCATATGCTGATTCGGAAGGGTTGCAACATCGTTAGGGATAATATGCAAACTCGTGTTTTGGTGAGTCCACTAGAATGTCCGGTGACCTGAGTCAATATCTGGTGCATTTTTGACTTAAACCAGGAGACGTTGGTTCAGCTTTAGTCAATATCATTAGAGGTCGGTGTTGACTCAGGGCTGGATGGACCAGTGAATTCACAAAATCTCAGCCTGGAGTGTGTGAATTATAATAATTAGTGTGTGGATAGCAGACCTAGGCACTGTAGCGGTCAGCTCAGCGTGTAGCAGCAGCTAGTGTGAGCTGTCCGAGAGAGCGCCGCTATACAAGATGGAGTGAGCGAAGTGTGGGACATTCATTTCATGATTAGCCAGTGACGTGTATGATTGCTTCTCTTGCATTATTCTATGTGAGGTTTTGTGAATATCAGATATGTGTCAGTGACAATAAATGTGCATATATGGCGGCAACACGCAGTTGAGTTTTCCTGGCAGTTTTATGGGCAAGTTGGGTAGCGAGTGTGAGTGGTGTCCAGAACACCTGGTTGTGTGCTGTCTGCCCACTAAGAGACTTTAGCACACATCATCCAGATCACATGAGACAACCTAGAACACTTGGTTGTGTGCTGTCTGCCCACTAAGAGACTTTAGCACACATCATCCAGATCACATGAGACAACCTAGAACACGTGACACAACAACATACAAAACACCAGACAACAACCTGGAAAACATGAGACTGGAATACATGAAGAGACAACCTGGAATGGACTGTTAATTGTGCTAGAATGTTGTGCATTCACACAGTGATAAGGATTCTGTTTGCCACTAGAAAACAACTACAGCACAGTAGCAATAGACATAAAAATGTGAAAAGCCAGAAATGACTGAAGAGATGGAAATCCTAATTGACTGAAAACTGCTAATAAATGTGACTGCTCTACCTTCTCCGTCCTCGTCGCCAGATGTTTTCTGTTCCCCATCACTGCCAGAGTGATCTCCCCCTCCTCTATTGTCTCTACGACTGCCACCTTCAAAGCGTCGCCTGCGCTGGAAGCGACGTCGATTTGAGTATCTGCAAATGTCGTATATTCATGTAAAAACCGAAAAGGTATGAAACAATTTTATACAACAATAAATTAACCTATCAGCATAAAACTCAGATCCATAAAGTCAGGTCACAACTTCCTGCGTGGGGAAACAAAAATAGACCCACTGATTCCCCAACAAGCATGCTGTCAAAGCTGACTAATTATGGAAAGGATGGGGGGGGGGGGGGGGGGGGGGGGGGGGGAAAAAGGGGCCTTTCTTCAAAGCTTGAGTCTAGAGTGCATCAGTCACAAAAGGCAAGGAACTAATAGTCTGCATATAAATATGTCAAATCCACAAAATGAATGTGCAAATGACACAGGTTGTTTGACAAGACAATGGTCCAGAGGTGGGTAACCAGAACTTACTGCCGGAGACAGTTTGCCAAAGTGAAAAAGATTACCAATGGTTCCAAACAGCTGATATACACAAACAACTTGATGCGTATCTGGTTATAAACTTGCTAATGCCAGAAGTAGAGCTGAGGACAAGTTATGGACCTCTGCCTAATGCCTCCATCACCTCTAAAAGCATAAGTCTTGAAGAAAAGACAAGGGCCCGCTTATGGTGCCACAAAACCCAACTGCACAACGTATGTACACTCATCCACGTCTCTAGTTATATTAGCCTACCCAGACTGCACAACGTATGTACACTCATCCACGTCTCTAGTTATATTAGCCTACCCAGACTGCACAATGTATGTATACTCATCCACATCTCTAGTTATATTAGCCTACCCAGACTGCACAACGTATGTACACTCATCCATATCTCTAGTTATATTAGCCTACCCAGACTGCACAACATATGTACACTCGTCCACATCTCTAGTTATATTAGCCTACCCAGACTGCACAACGTATGTACACTCATCCACATCTCTAGTTATATTAGCCTACCCAGTACACTCATCCACATCTCTAGTTATATTAGCCTACCCAGTACACTCATCCATATCTCTAGTTATATTAGCCTACCCAGTACACTCATCCACATCTCTAGTTATATTAGCCTACCCAGTACACTCATCCACATCTCTAGTTATATTAGCCTACCCAGTACACTCATCCACATCTCTAGTTATATTAGCCTACCCAGTACACTCATCCACATCTCTAGTTATATTAGCCTACCCAGTACACTCATCTCCATCTCTAGTTATATTAGCTTACCCAGTACACTCATCCATATCTCTAGTTATATTAGCCTACCCAGTACACTCATCCACATCTCTAGTTATATTAGCCTACCCAGACTCCACAACGTATGTACACTCATCCACATCTCTAGTTATATTAGCCTACCCAGACTGCACAACGTATGTACTCATCCACATCTCTAGTTATATTAGCCTACCCAGACTGCACAACGTATGTACACTCATCCACATCTCTAGTTATATTAGCCTACCCAGACTGCACAAAGTATGTACACTCATCCACATCTCTGGTTATATTAGCCTACCCAGACTGCACAACGTATGTACACTCGTCCACATCTCTAGTTTTATTAGCCTACCCAGACTGCACAACGTATGTACACTCATCCACATCTCTAGTTATATTAGCCTACCCAGACTGCACAACCTATGTACTCATCCACATCTCTAGTTATATTAGCCTACCCAGACTGCACAACGTATGTACACTCATCCACATCTCTAGTTACACTAGCCTACCCAGACTGCACAACCTATGTACTCATCCACATCTCTAGTTATATTAGCCTACCCAGACTGCACAACGTATGTACTCATCTCCATCTCTAGTTATATTAGCCTACCCAGACTGCACAACGTATGTACTCATCCACATCTCTAGTTATACTAGCCTACCCAGACTGCACAACGTATGTACTCATCTCCATCTCTAGTTATATTAGCCTACCCAGACAGCACAACGTATGTACACTCATCCACATCTCTAGTCAAGTTACACTAGTCTACCCAAACTGTGCTGAGGACAGAACCAACCAGAGGGCGAACCACCGCCATAAGGATGTCAAGGCAGTATCTATACTCTGCAGCTGCCGAACTTGTTCTGAACCCCAAGACAGCCTCTGCCTTACAATGATCCAATAATCAATTCAGAAGGTCAGGTGCATCTCAGGTGTTTCATGGAGCCACTGACCAAACAAACTGCCAGTTATGTACAGGAATGTGCAAGCAGCTGACAGTGACATGCAAGTTTGCAGATTCAGTGTATGTCCCCAGCAAGAAACCAGTGCCCTCGATAGCTCATCTGATCACAACGACACAAAGGGTTGGAATACTGACAAGAAATAGATGTCCCATGTTCATTACAGTGACCATACACCAGGACAGTTACTGGCCCACCCATTTGTATTTCAAATAAGCGCCAGTGTTCCACTTTCTTTTTACAAGAATTTTTTTTTTTATCGAGAAGGAGCTCGGGAATAAAACATACATTTAGTCATAACACATTACATTAACTTGCTTGCCAACGTCAGACATTACCGCTACACATTAGCTATTATACCACACGTCAGGCGTGATGTTTATGCATCAGCTATGCACACATCAGACACTACCCCCCACATATCAGACATTACATAAGCTATTACTCTACACATAAGACATTACCACTGAACATTAGATATTTCCATAACACATAAGACATTTCCCCCACACCACACATTAACTATTACTCTACACATCAGACATTTCCCCCACACCACACATTAACTATTACTTTACACATCAGACATTACCAACACACATCAGATATTTCCCCTTCACATCAGCTTACCTGCCCGGTGCACCCTTATCGTCCCCATCTCCCTGGCCACCTTCACATCAGCTTACCTGCCCGGTGCACCCTTATCGTCCCCATCTCCCTGGCCACCTTCACATCAGCTTACCTGCCCGGTGCACCCTTATCGTCCCCATCTCCCTGGCCACCTTCACATCAGCTTACCTGCCCGGTGCACCCTTATCGTCCCCATCTCCCTGGCCACCTTCACATCAGCTTACCTGCCCGGTGCACCCTTATCGTCCCCATCTCCCTGGCCACCTTCACATCAGCTTACCTGCCCGGTGCACCCTTATCGTCCCCATCTCCCTGGCCACCCTCACATCAGCTTACCTGCCCGGTGCACCCTTATCGTCCCCATCTCCCTGGCCACCCTCACATCAGCTTACCTGCCCGGTGCACCCTTATCGTCCCCATCTCCCTGGCCACCCTCACATCAGCTTACCTGCCCGGTGCACCCTTATCGTCCCCATCTCCCTGGCCACCCTCACATCAGCTTACCTGCCCGGTGCACCCTTATCGTCCCCATCTCCCAGGCCACCTTTACATCAGCTTACCTGCCCAGTGCACCCTTATCGTCCCCATCTCCCTGGCCACCCTCACATCAGCTTACCTGCCCGGTGCACCCTTATCGTCCCCATCTCCCTGGCCACCTTCACATCAGCTTACCTGCCCGGTGCACCCTTATCGTCCCCATCTCCCTGGCCACCTTCACCGCCACCATCACTATGCTCAGATTCCGAAGCACGAGGTTTGCCACCCCGGTTGCTAAACCGGCGGTTGCGGAAGTTTCTGCGTCTTCCCCTTCCTTCGTTATCTCCGTCAGCTCCAGATTCATCGCCAGTCTCCACATTCTCCTTATTGCTGTCGTCATCAGTCCTACGTCTGGTGCCTCCACGCCTGTATCTGGCCGAAAGACAGACATGTTACATTCAAGGCTTCCACATACTGGGACAGAAGTAACATACACGTACACATAACAGTTAATACATAAACAAATCTGATGAGTTTTGTTGGATAGTTCCTGATAAATAATCATACAAGTTAATGTACACAAGGTTATACTTCAGATGCTGATGCGCATACAAGTTAGCAATCAACACACGACTGCCACTTGACCAGTCACTAGGTCCTATCCTCACAATTGTATGGAATCTCCATGACCAAGTGGTCATGGCCTTTGGCTTCGCTCTGCAGGTCTGAGTGCAATTTGTTAAGGAGACCCTTGTGGATCGTTGTCAGAGCTACTGTGTTTGTTCATGCTCTGTGCAATGCTTTCAGCAGGCGGCTAGGGGCACTATAGATATTTGTGAGATAAGACCTGGTGCAATAAAGACATTTAAACGTGTAACTTCTATTAAATTGTTTTTTTTTCTAAACAAAACCTGGCCAGGGAAAATGGACACTGAGCATGTGGCCAGTCCTCAACTACCCGGACTTTTTTTTAACGATCAGCTGTGTATGACCACTAGAGGAGAGGAAGTAGCCACACTAAGAAACAGGTGGCTTCAGTTAAGTAAGAAAATGTCTCAAAAAAGAAGAGATGAGTCAAAATGCTTTTTTTGGGAAGCGGCGGGGGGATGAACACCACCAGCGAGCTGATCAATTTCTGGTACACCAAGCCAAGAACATACATGACATCTCTATGAGGCCTGCTGCGAACAGCTTGGCCATTGATTGTCTTCTGTTCTGCCTGCCAGTAGTTTTTCAGAGGAGGCTCCAGAAAGTTTGATGCGTCACATCTCCACTGAACCGAACAGACATCGCCACTGATCCGTACAGACATCTCCACCTATCTGTAGACATCTCCACCTATCTGTAGACATCTCCACCTATCTGTACAGACATCTCCACCTATCTGTACAGACATCTCCACCTATCTGGACGGGAAGTGTTCAAATGGGTTTTAATTGCTTGCTTGATCTGGGTGTTCTTTTCTTCACAAATGCAACCTGTATCTGTATTACTTCCCATGTTTTTTAAGTAGCCTACTCTTTTATTTCCCCGACTGCACTGCTACGACTGAAGAGACAAAGACCCCATTCATGTTGATTCTAAGGGAGAAACAAAATTGCTTGCTACCACACAGAAGTAAATTGCTACAGACCTGAATCCACCACCACGGAACCGTCCTCTGTAACCGCCACGACCAAAGCGCCTGAATCGACGAGGCCGGGGTGGCTCAACCTTTTCCAGGGGGTCATCCTCCTCATTCTCCTGACCCTTCAGCAAGACATTGTGTCCAAGCTCACGCTCCAGGTCACGGAGCTGCTTCAGTACAGGAATCTGTAGGCAAACAGAAACATCACTCACTGACATATGCTAACATCACATAAGTTTTCTCTATAGGAATCCATGGGGAGACAGAAACACTGACATATGCTTACATCACATAAATTTTCTCTAAAGGAATCTGTAGGGAAACAGAAACATCACATACAGATATGCTAACATCACATATGTTTTCTCTAAGACATCTGCGGGGACACAGAAACATCACTGACATATGCTAACCATCACATAAGTTTCTCTACAGAAATCCCTGGGGAAACAGAAATATCACAGATTATGCTAACCATCGTAGGAATCTGCAGAAAGGCAGACATTCATCACCTAAATCTATAAACAAGTGATTCCTCAGTCAGTTTTCTCTACACCAGAAACAAAGCATTGTGCTCACCCAACACAAAAGTATCCCCACTGTTAAACGAACAATACTTGACCCAATCTACAGTCGTTTTGCTGTATTAAACACCACCACAACAGTATTCCAATTGTTAAACATAAACAATACTTGACCCAATCTACAGTCGTTTTGCTGTATTAAACACCACCACAACAGTATTCCAATTGTTAAACATAAACAATACTTGACCCAATCTACAGTTGTTTTGCTGTATTAAACACCACCACAACAGTATTCCAATTGTTAAACACAAACAATACTTGACCCAATCTACAGACGTTTTGCTGTATTAAACACCACCACAACAGTATTCCAATTGTTAAACATAAACAATACTTGACCCAATCTACAGTTGTTTTGCTGTATTAAACACCACCACAAAAGTATCCCCACTGTTAAACATGAGCAATACTTGACCCAATCTACAGTCGTTTTGCTGTACTCAACACCACCACAAAAGTATCCCCACTGTTAAACATGAGCAATACTTACACAATCTACAGTCGTTTTGCTGTACTCAACACCACCACAAAAGTATTCCAATTGTTAAACATGAGCAATACTTACACAATCTACAGTCGTTTTGCTGTACTCAACACCACCACAATAGTATTCCAATTGTTAAACATGAGCAATACTTGACCCAATCTACAGTCGTTTTGCTGTATTCAACACCACCACAAAAGTATCCCCACTGTTAAACATGAGCAATACTTGACCCAATCTAAAGTCGTTTTGCTGTACTCAACACCACCACAATAGTATTCCAATTGTTAAACATGAACAATACTTGACTCAATCTAAAGTCGTTTTGCTGTACTCAACACCACCACAATAGTATTCCAATTGTTAAACATGAGCAATACTTGACCCAATCTAAAGTCGTTTTGCTGTACTCAACACCACCACAAAAGTATTCCAACTGTTAAACATGAGCAATACTTGACCCAATCTACAGTCGTTTTGCTGTACTCAACACCACCACAAAAGTATCCCCACTGTTAAACATGAGCAATACTTACACAATCTACAGTCGTTTTGCTGTACTCAACACCACCACAAAAGTATCCCCACTGTTAAACATGAGCAATACTTACACAATCTACAGTCGTTTTGCTGTACTCAACACCACCACAATAGTATTCCAATTGTTAAACATGAACAATACTTGACTCAATCTAAAGTCGTTTTGCTGTACTCAACACCACCACAATAGTATTCCAATTGTTAAACATGAGCAATACTTGACCCAATCTAAAGTCGTTTTGCTGTACTCAACACCACCACAAAAGTATTCCAACTGTTAAACATGAGCAATACTTGACTCAATCTACAGTCATTTTGCTGTACTCAACACCACCACAAAAGTATTCCAACTGTTAAACATGAGCAATACTTGACCCAATCTACAGTCGTTTTCCCTATGAACCACCACCAGACCTTGCACCAAACACTCTACATACACCTTCAACAACTACTGCTGACATGACGACACAGGTGACATAGTTACCTGAAAGAATTTATTCACTTCCAGATGGTTCCAAATGACCCCACTAGGCTTTGGCCGAGTGCATTTGGTCTCAATGAGCTCAGTTGGGGTCAGAATAAAGTCAACTGTCAAATCATGCTCTCCAACCTGCAGGATCAGTCCAACACACATCATTACAAAAAATACATTACTGAAAAAAAAAAAACATTACAAAATATATACACATGACTTCAATGCTGCATCCATGATTATGACAATATGTACAGAACATCGTTTGTCAAGAAACACCTGAAAGTTTCTCTAAATAAATTAAATCTCCAGTCCATTGTGCTTTCCCAGTCAATGCATCTTCAATGTCTTCTGTCCATCCACATTCAAGGGTGTCTGCTTCTGTCTCGTTGTCCTGAAACCACAGCCTCCATCCATGTGTTCTTCCAGGCTATCATGGCCAGAACTCACCACAGGATGCTGTTTTAGCAAGTTCTCCCCAATGTTCAGATCATGTAGGATGTCAGGTTTTTCTTCTTTTTATTCTAAAACAATTTTCTTCTGACAGTTTAATTCCATGAGTTGCCACTGGAAATTATGATTTCAAAATTCTAACTTAAACTTATTTGCAGGTGCCTAGCTCCAGATTCTCCATGCTGTTTAATCTTATCACTGCTAAAGCAAGTTCGTAAATCCTACATACACTATATCAAATATCACATTCTATAACCAACAAATAAATTCCCTGAAATACTACCTTCTAAAACTCCACTTAAATGCACAGAAATATGTATTCTGTCACATTTCATAACCTCCTCACTTCCTCGACTCACAACATCTCACGAGCTGCTGAATTAAGCCAAAACTACATCATGAAATTAAAAGGAAAAATCTATAAACATATAAATTTGTAGAGCATTCTAAAAACTCAGTCATTGCATGAATCTGATTATACAAGACGGTAACAGCTCACCAAGTCCTCGGGTATGTCAACAATCTGAGAATCGTGGACTGATGTCACCACAATGGTGTTGGCGTCGATGGCTCCCCAAGTCCTCATCATGGCATACTCCAAGTCAGCAAACCCTTTTCCTTTCCCAATGCGGAATCCTGGGTAAAACAAAGGTAAAACATGACCCAGGTGCGGGTGTTTGGTCAGTTTCACACACAAAGTCAACAGTGCAGGTAATGTTACAAAGATGCTATCAAGTTTACTGTATTCAGCTTTAGTTACATCTCAGTTTCTTGTCTGACTGTTCTTTTTTTTTTTTCAGTTTTCCTTAATATCTGTGTTCTAGTTGAGGCGGGTGGTGATGGCTGGTAGGTCATAGGTGGGGGAGCTAGAGCAGCAGTGATCTAGGGGGGGCCTGAGGGGTGAGAACAAGTAGTGTTTAGTACGGTGGCTGGGACATGGGTAGGTGTGATCAGACAGAACAGGGTATGGCAGGCAAGGTGGAGGGTACAATGGGTGGTCTCCTGGTATCATGTCCTCCATTATACTGCCTTGTTGTAGAGTGTAAATGTGACGAGCAAACAAGAAAACAGAAGAATGTGTTGAGAAGACAAAGGTGCTGGACTATTGATAATAACAAGCCCGCACAGGGCAGGGTTGTGGTGGTGGGGAAGGGCCTGAGCCCTATGTGATGATTGCTGTAAAGCTGCAATATGTGCACCTTTCATTTGATACATCCATCTTTACCACAGATATTAGCAAGTTTCTTCATGCAGGCCGATCCCATTCCAGAACTTTCGGTCTTCCTGGGTTGTCACCAGCCAGCATGACAATGCTAGGTGTAGATGGTACATGCCAATATCCAGTAGGGTAACTACAGTCAAGTTGGTGAAGTGAGCTGCAAGTATGAGTCTGTGTCAAATGACTCAAAATTTAATGTTAAAGTTGTAGTCTTGCTCAGTCAAGAGTAAAAACAATCTTACCATTTCTGGACACGGCAACACTGCCCACAATGAGCAGGTCAATCTTCACCTTGTCGTCGAGACCAATCTCTAAGCTGCATTCCTTCACACCCTGGAATAGAGCATAAGTTCATCATCTTTCATACTTAAAATACACCATAAGTTCATCTTTCGTGTCCAAAAATAGCTCACGTTCATCATTTTTCATGCCTGAAATACAATAAAGGTAAAGTCAGCGTCACTGCACACGATTATAAACCAGAAGTGCTCTGCCACCAATACAGACAGCCGATAAGAAACTGTCCGCCTGTGTCGTCGTTCGCACGCAACTTTGTAGCTACAGAGACGTTCCTCCATTTACCCCAGAGAGTTAACTTAAATATAGTGCAAGTTTCCATTCTCTGACGCATTCAATACGATACTAGTTTGACACCCTTTCACAGACAAAATAAAGCACTTGTACTATAAACAAAAAAGCAGACATTGAAATTCTGTCACAGCCTGAAATATACCAAAAGTTGTGAAAAAGAATATGCTGACAGGGCACTTAAAGATAAAAGAAAGTTCTCTCTTTTTGCCAGTAGATCATACTTACTGCCCTACCTGACCAAATCTATTGTCCTCACACCAACCTGTTTCAAAGTGACACTGAAAGTGTGGTCTTACACACAACCCTATGTGAAAATCTTATCCTGTGTTCGTCCTAACATTGTTTCGGCAGCTAGACTGCAATATATGCACCTTTCAGCCCAATAAATCCGACTTCAACAGTCCCCATTTATAGCATGCTTGTGGAGAGGGGGGAGAGCAGGTCTATTCTTTTGCTCCCCCCACAATCGGGCCTAGGAACCAAAATGGAGAATGTTGAAACCAAACAGACAACAGTCTCAACTCTCCACTTTTATCAAGCGTCAGGTAAAAGTGCTCACCACACTTTACTTAACAACAATGGCTGAAAACATCTGCAACCAACCATGTTTAGAACTTCCTGCTTCAAGTGTCCCAGCTCTAACCATCATGTGCATATTGAACTTCAGAGTAGCCTAGCATTTTAAAGACCTCAAGCCTCTAGTTGTCAACAGTGGTGACTCCTGGCCTAGACATGCCAGCAACTTAGCTTACCTGGGATGTGCAACAGTGTCTCAGTTTATCCTTGTCTGCATCCTCTGGGGGCACCACCCGGTTCAGCAGTCCAATCCGCTTCTGAGCGGAGGCCAAGGGGTATTTCTGGAAGATGACAAATGTCAAATCTGTCATTACAGGTGGCGAGCATAAATACAGCATGACATATATTTGAGAATAAGGCTAGACATAAATCTGTCAATATCTCAACACACAAACCATCAATCTTCATAAGGTCATGGGCGCATGACATTTTAGCTGTATCTCCACACATGATTCAGCTGTAACTCCACACATGATTCAGCTTAACCCCACACATGATTCAGCTTAACCCCACACATGATTCAGCTGTTACCCCACACATGATTCAGCTGTTACCCCACACATGATTCAGCTGTTACCCCACACATGATTCAGCTGTTACCCCACACATGATTCAGCTGTAACCCCACACATGATTCAGCTGTAACCCCACACATGATTCAGCTGTAACCCCATACATGTACACATTCCATGGTTTTAAGAGTTTCAGACACAAGCCATGCGCTAGCTGAGTCAAGAACTGACATCAAAGCATGAGGCATTCCCATGTGTGCTCCATCCTAATCTTCAGCAGCCAGCGCAGAGTTCCAATAATCATGCTACCGGTCACAATCTGGTCATATGCCTGTCTTGCCTTTCCTCTAAGTGTAGTGAGCCGGCCAGACGCTCTGGTTATACCCAAGTGCCTCATTCTCTACAGGCCATAATATTTGTCTACCTGATCCCGTTGCTTGTTCCCAAAAGGCCTTGACCACATCTGCCTTGTCATGAATCAGTTCACCACCCAGTGGTGCAGATCCAGCCAATATGTCTGTCTGTTCATAATCCACCACGCCGGCATAGCCTGGAGAAAAGATCCAAAGTATGCTAACTACTCGTGACCTTCCCAGTGAAGCTTGCCCCTCTGCTTGAAGCATCCCTGTCTTTACTTTTCTAAGCATGCTTTCAGTCTGTTACAATTACGATATGTGTATGCATCTTGTTCTCTAGCCACCGGAGAGCAGCAGTTACCACCTCTACCTCCATTCCCATGCCACATCTGGCCAGCAGAGGTCTAGCAAATGGCCCGCACATCATTGCTAGTGGTATGGTATAAATAATATTTCTATGCTGCAACTCGGACCTCTGGCCTGTGACGATCCAATTTTTTAGAATGTTGGCTCCTGAGTTAACTTGGTTGAATGACCATGGTCTAGTCCCACATACACCAGCCATGCTCTAGTCCCACATACACCAGCCATAGTCTAGTCCCACATACACCAGCTATAGTCTAGTCCCACATACACCAGCCATGCTCTAGTACCACATACACCAGCCATAGTCTAGTACCACATACACCAGCCATAGTCTAGTCCAACATACACCAGCCATGCTCTAGTTCCACAGAAGTGATTAACTTTTTACCTGATTCAATAGGACCAGCTCCTTTCCAGCCTGAAAAACAAAGACAACGATGGTCAATACAATGCTACATTACATAAGAATAACTTATGTCACACAGTAAACAGTATTGTTACATCAGCATCAACTCCGTCACCTTTCTCTACCAGCTCATCAAGGACAACATGTCCACACACTCAATCCTTAGTCTTACTATCCCAGACATCTGTCTACACCAGTTACCTCCAAACATGTTTTCTTATTCTACTTCATGTTTACTGGTGGAAAGTTCTGGTTGTTCGTCCACCTCTGAACTTGAGTCTTGTCCCAGAACTTGGCTGCTGTGTGCACATTTCATTTATAGAACTGACTTTATGAAATTTAGATTGTTAGCTCCTTGGCTGCTCTCCAACGTGGAAGGAAGCCCCAAAGTAGCCAACTTTTACATTTACAGCGTGCTAGTTATCCAGGCATTGGATCTACTTTTGGGGGGTCCCTGAACCCACACGGGGAAAACATGTTTTTAAAACAGTATAAAAATCAAATGTTAAACAAACCTAGATAAAACACACTTAACCGGTCAAACACTATATGGTATGACAACAAGCTGCCACACGATCAACGGGAGAAACACACTATATACAGTTCACAAATACTGTGGCTTCAGACTTGGCCAAAACAACTGCAACGCATTGTGCGGTCCATATAAATTTTAAAAATGCATAAAAGAAATATGAAGCAATTAAACACTGCTGCATGATTACCTCCAACACCAAAAACCTGGCCTGCTCCTGTGGTTTGTCAGGGTTAACCTTCACCGTCTTGGCCTGCTTGAACACTTCTAGAGTTGCCAGTTTGTCATTGGCAACCGCAGCATTCTAGATAAATAAAATATACATGACTTCAATATAAGACTTCACATGCCTAAAATATTAGGTTGTATGTCACAGACAGTCTATTTTACACATGACTGATGAAGGATAACTTCAAGAGTTGACCAGCGGAGCACTCAATAACTGATGCTCCTCCTTAGTGTTTATCGAGTGACAGAAAGTTCTATTTATTTTTAATTCATCCACTTCTCGACTTGTGTCCTGATCCAGAACTTGTCCTTGCGCATCTATTTGACAGATGTTGAGGTGAGCTGTGAAGGGACCAACTCTAATTAGTCATTATTTACCAGGGAGGCAGTGGGTCTATTATTTGTTTCAGCCTAATTGAGAACCAAGAACATATATGAGGAGAAACTAACAATTAATGACTGTACTTAGTCAACCCTTTTCTACTCTGAGGTGTAAAGATTTACCAGACTTCTCAATCAGCAGTTTTCTTTTTGGCTTTGTCAGACCAACGTTTACTCAGTGAACCCTGGCTCGTCTTAATTCCCTCGTTCTTAGACTCCTGTGGTGGCCGATTCTCTCCCATTCCAAACCCCCCGATCTACTCTCAAGTTTGTACGGCCTAGGTTTTAGAGCCCGACTGCAAACTTTTTCTTGGACCACACTTTCTCAGACAGCTCATTGCTGAGGCCTGAAACTGGTTTCTGTGACCTGTTGCCATTGCCCACGACACACACCTATACACCAAGTAAATGACTGACACAGATGGTAAGTCTAATTGCAAAGTATCAAAAATGAGTTTATTGCGTGCAATCTGTTTGAGAAGCTGTCTGTAAAAATGTTGTAAGTTGGACTAAAGTGCTTCATGGTTGTCAGCATGTGCAGCCTTAGTGGCAGTGGCTTGACCATTATGTAGCAGGCCCTGGTGATCACAGCTTGCCTGAAACACACTGGCTTAAATGTGTCCACCTTCATGCTGGTCGGCCCCTGCCCCTCCTTTCTGGCACCAAGAGTGCTGGGGGTGATTTAGAGCTGCTATTTCTGACTGAGAAGTATGGCTTCTGTCTTTAGGGTTAGCAATGTCTAGTGAACAAAAACAAACAATAAAGACATGCACTGTAGACATCTGTTGCAAACACAGACACACACATATGTATCACTGACCTCAAAGTTGGGTATGCGATAGTGACAAGGTCTGGGTGGGTTCACCAGGTTGTTCTCCTCCAGGTAGTCCCAGATCTTGCGCCTGATTGCCCATTTACCAGTTTCTGGTGGACAACAACCCAACATATTATACTCATCAAGCAAGCCATTTTCATTTAAATACATATTTTCAATGGTTAATGAAAAAGTTTGTAGGTCACTGTTCCTGTGATTTATACAAAACATGGTCACTTGATACTCTTATAGCTGTTAGGGCACAGTGGCTGGACCAGTGGGCAGGCTGTGATGTGTTTCAAATCCAGTCTTGGGTAGGACTAAATCTGGTACCAGCAAATGTTCTCTTAGGTAAAGGTGGCTGCTGTGATACTGACATGACCCAACAGTTGCAGACTCAGGTTGCTACTACCTTCCCAGCATGCCAGAGGGTGGCGGACAGGGTCCTGTATATTTGTTGTTTTTGTAACATCATTTACATACAACATAATTTTGCTGAACTGGCAGAAAACTGCAAACCACTAGAATATTCATTCATATGGTCTTCTTCACCAGCTGTAAACTTTAGCGAAAAGTTCTGGTTGTCCACTTCCAGAACTTGAGTGTTGTGTGTGCATCTGTTTGACAGATCTGACTAATTTGTATGCAGGCTGTCGGTTCCTTGCCTCTCAGGCAGATGCACTTCCTTTGAACGAAGCTCCCAATGAGTCGACTCTTACGACATGCTTCTTGAATCAGGGCCCCAGAACCCACACGGGGACATATGGTCTCAACCTGATCACAGACCTAGAAACCCACACACAAAATATCTGCAACAAAACAAACAAACAGACATGAACAGAAAAAACATGTATGTACTAATTCTCAAGGTGGTGTAATTCAACTTATCAATAAGCTATTGCATCAATACCATCCATTCTGTTCTCAAGGTGGTGTAATTCAACTTATCAATAAGCTATCGCGTGAATACCATCCATTCTGTTCTCAAGGTGGTGTAATTCAACTTATCAATAAGCTATCGCGTGAATACCATCCATTCTGTTCTCAAGGTGGTGTAATTCAACTCATCAATAAGCTATCGCATCAATACCATCCATTCTGTTCTCAAATACACAAACTACTGACCATCTTCTGGGTGGACCTCTCGATAGGGCTGCCTGCGTGGACGAGTGCCCCGCTCCTTGCCGACTGACTCTTCATCTGCTGTCGGCTTGACATTCTCAATCTTGGCCTCCCCCTCCGGTCCCTCGGCTGCTATCGCGTTGTTGTTTTCCATGACTATTCCCACACTGCTCTTGTTGTAGCCTCAGTTTGGGTCTCCTCCAGTTGGAGAGATTTCTGGGCACTTGTTTTCTGTGGTCACATGACATCAGCATGTATCAAATCAACAACTAGTCACACAATATCAGCATGTATCAAATCAAATGCAACTGGTCACACAATATCAGCATGTATCAATATTATAAAAGTAACGACTGACTGGAAACATTTTTCCTGTGGTCATGTAATGAGATGAGCAGTCTGTTGGAAATGGGACAGTTTTGGTAAATAAGGACAAGTATACAAAACACAGGTGCACTTGGAGAAAGAACAAATGTCAATCAACTATTACTGAGTTTGGGGAGCGTGGAGACAGATGGCTGTTTTATCAGATGGTGAGGCACAGATGGGTCATGACAAGTGCTAAAAAAGAGGTCATACGATGAGAAACTGGATAACTGGAAAGACGTTAAATGGGCTGGAAGCTGACCGAGGTATTTCCTGGCCAGCTGACAGGGGAAGTGGCTTGGAGATATGTCATCACTAGAACTATGTCAGCAAAGACAAAATCTGTGGGTGGAAACATATATGAGGTATGGTGGTTGGCAAGCAACAATATTAGTAATACAATACTACTAATACTCTGCTAACTTTAGGTCACACCCATTCAAGGAAATTTGTTGCATTGGAGGGGGGGGGGGTGTTTTTAAAACATTTTTTTTTTTTTGGTTGTGTATCATTGTTGTTCATGTCAACAACATATTTAAGAAGGGATACTTTCAATACTTTCATAGTGGGTGGGGTGATGACAAATACAAGTGTTGTCAATTTTATAAGTAGATTGACACAAAGTACAGTATTTAAACTTTTTAAAATTTTATTTAACCAAGAACATTTTAACTTGTTTCATATAATATTTCCTTGATTAACATCGTATTAACATTCATAAATTCAACTTGTGTCTTGTTAGCTATGCTTATTTTCTCACTTTATAATAATATTCAGAATGTGCGCATCAATTATATTAACTGAAAGAAACAAAACAATTCGCTGCAGAAACAAGATGAAGGCTCATAAGTTGGAAGCATGCGGCTCAAGTTGAAAGTAAAACCTTGACAAGACAATTTTAATTTCACCGATCAATCCCCGGTAGATTCGAATTTCGGTAAGAAATTCAAACAAAAACTTATACAACAATGCGACAGCGGTGAAAGAATCTGTGAAAACAACGACTATCGCTGACAAACAAAGAACTGAGCAGACATGAGTGCATGGACATGACTGCGATATAGGGCAAGCACGCATCCCCCCTCACCGCCCACGTAACACTTCCTTCTCTGGGGCCTGAGGCAGCGTGCTGTCACACTTTCCAGCATTTCCACTCCACAAACTACACCCCGACATGTTTCATAACGTGCCTGAGTAGATGAAGTGATCAAATGCTGGAGGACAGACGACAAGTGAGCAGACATTTACGAGAGAAAACATTTCATACCTAGCGTGCAGTAGACTGCCAGACGATCACCGCCGCCACGTTAGTCTCTGTCTCTACAAAACTGTTACCGCACGGTCCCGGCCTCTCCCCACAAACGAAATACGAACTATCCGGCAGCTTCAAAATATCGCCTCCAATAAGCACGAATTAAATAATATGCCAGCGGAAAATTATGAACATAAAATAGAGCGAATTCAAGAGGAGTTCAGAAATAAGGAGGGAACCAACAGCTATAAGACAAAGAAGATGGCGCTATACTGGACCCATCCTGAAAAGAAACCAACAGAGAATATCCAAACAGGTCCTATAATGGAAGGGTTAGTTAGTTAGTCTTTCCTCTTGTGTCGAGTGCGGCACATAGGGCAGAGGTCGTGACTCTCCATGCACGGCGGTCCGTTGCAATCCGTTGTAGGTCTTGGATGTTTGAGTGGCCCATGAGCGAGCCTTCCCTGATGATAGTTCTACGTAGGGTTTCCCTTGGTCTTCCACGAGATCTTTTCCCCTGTGGTGTCCAAATGAGGGCTTGGTAAGGAAGTCTTGATTTATCCATTCTAAGGACGTGGCCGACATAGTTCCAGCGGCGTTTTCGTATAAAATTAGACACATACTCTTGCCTGGATTCTTGCCTTATTTGTGTATTGGTTCGGAAATCTGACCATTTGAAATTTAGTATTCTTCTAAGGCATTTATTTTCAAAACTGTCTAATTTTGTGTCTAGAGTTTTCGTTGATTTCCAACTCTCGCATCCATAGGTTAGTACTGGAATCACACAAGAATTGAAGATCTTGAGTTTTGTGTGTTTGCTAAGTGTCTTTGATTTCCAGATGTTAGACAGTTTATTGAAGGGTAGGACGCAAAAAATAAACCTTACAACTAACGTTGATGAGAGAGGCCAAAGCTGCTAGACTAGATTCCATCCACGTTATTTAACTGCTCTCAATCCACTATCGAAATCAATCCAAAGCAGTCTGCTGCCAAATCGTCCGCAGCTGTAACCGAACCGGGTATCTCTTTCAAATAAACCAGGCTAAGAAACAATATGATTTGATAAGGCTGGAGTTTATTGGGGACATGGTGTTAGCCTCTTGATAGGTGCAGACATCAATGTACGGAGACTCGATAGGCGCAGAAAAACAGCAGCAAGTCGGCGTCTGCGGCTGCGACATTGCAAATGTGCTTCGTAATTCCGAGGTGCCAGGTTCGATCCCATCAGCGGGCGATTTGACAGAAGACCGCCTTGTGTTGGTTTTGACGTGGTATCGGAAGCCGACTGATGATGTTGAAACGGCAAACTAAGAGTTTAAAAAAAAAAGAATATGAGTCTAGATTCATATTTTGTTTAATCAATTTGCTGTCGCTGGGTGATGTGGCCAACCAATGGGCTGTCGCTGGGTGATGTGGTCGATCAATGGGCTGTCGCTGGGTGATGTGGTCGACCAATGAGCTGCCGCTGGGTGGTGTGGTCGACCAATGAGCTGCCGCTGGGTGATGTGGCCAACCAATGGGCTGTCGCTGGGTGATGTGGTCGACCAATGGGCTGTCGAAGGGTGATGTGGTCGACCAATGGGCTGTTGCTGAGTGATGTGGTCGACCAATGGGCTGTCGCTGGGTGATGTGGTCGACCAATGTGCTGTCGCTGGGTGATGTGGTCTATCAATGGGTTGTCGCTGGGTGATGTGGTCTATCAATGGGCTGTCGCTGGGTGATGTGGTCTATCAATGGGCTGTCGCTGGGTGATGTGGTTGACATCATGCTTGTCGCCTTTACTTCCCTGTGACTTTATCAGGCACCGATGTAAGGCCTGGTTGACCTGGCAACCGAGGTCATGTTTGAACAAATCTATATTTTAAACTGTTGTATGTAGACTTCCTACATTTAAACTGTTGTCTGTAGATTTCCTGTATTTAAACTGTTGTATGTAGACTTCCTATATTTAAACTGTTGAGAGTACGTTTCCTATATTTTAAACTGTTGTATGTAAGTGTCCTTTATTTTTAACTGTTGCATGTAGATTTCCTACAGTTTTAACTGTTGCATGTAGATTTCCTACAGTTTTAACTGTTGCATGTAGATTTCCTACAGTTTTAACTGTTGCATGTAGATTTCCTACAGTTTTAACTGTTGCATGTAGATTTCCTACAGTTTTAACTGTTGCATGTAGATTTCCTACAGTTTTAACTGTTGCATGTAGATTTCCTACAGTTTTAACTGTTGCATGTAGATTTCCTACAGTTTTAACTGTTGCATGTAGATTTCCTACAGTTTTAACTGTTGCATGTAGATTTCCTACAGTTTTAACTGTTTGCATGTAGATTTCCTACAGTTTTAACTGTTGCATGTAGATTTCCTACAGTTTTAACTGTTGCATGTAGATTTCCTACAGTTTTAACTGTTGCATGTAGATTTCCTACAGTTTTAACTGTTGCATGTAGATTTCCTACAGTTTTAACTGTTGCATGTAGATTTCCTACAGTTTTAACTGTTGCATGTAGGTTTCCTATATTTTAAACTGTTGCATGTAGATTTCCTATTTTTTAAACTGTTGCATGTAGATTTCTATATTTTAAACTGTTGCATGTAGGTTTCCTATATTTTAAACTGTTGTTGGAGAATTATACAGTTTACCAGACACACTTAACCTTCAACCTCGTGCCTACTGATGAGCGATTGTGAGGTACACTCTAGACTCCTCCCATATTTAATACTTATACCAGAAGGCTAGGTACCCTCCATACCACACCTTGGTCAAGAAGGAGTACCTCATACCCGACTCCACATTTTGTAACCACCATCCATGATGCTGGCAACACCCCCTCCCCCCCCCCCCCGAGTGCCGATTGCTCAATAAAAGACAGATCTAGTCCTGTATGCCTAATACGCAGGGAGGTGTGTAAAAAAAAGGGCCCTTTACTGTCCATGGCTGGATTCTGCATGGCATATTTCTGGTCAGGGACGGACACTGGTCATCCAGGACAACATTGCCCATTTTGTCTTCTCTCACAAATCAGCAGTAGTTATGGAATCTTATGTAATCTTATGGAATCTTATGGAATCTTATGGAATCTTATGGAATCCAGAACATTGGGTTTAGTCATGAGCCACAGTACTTAGGATCTATCGACCAATCCTGTTTTGAAGATATCAAACAATCTGGATATTTGCGAATAGTTTCAAATGAGATCAGAAGAGAAAGTAGGCGTAGGCAATCCACAATGCCGTGGGCGTGTTAAATGACTTAACACACTTTAAAACTTGGTGACAACTAGGACATTCCATGAGACAAGGGCTAAGAATGACACACAAGATTAAAATATGGTTGGTTTGACAACAGGTCACGGGTAGGCCAAGAACATAGGCCTGATCCGCGTATCAGTGAGATAGGGGAACTGTAACCATTTTCACTTGTCGGCACGTCCCACGATGACCATGTAAATACTTTCATTGTCCTTGTCAACTAAAGTTTGAACTAGACTCTCCACTTCGGTCACTCATTATATCTTACCTTGAAATTGGGGAAAAAG